ACATCTGACACAAGTATTTCAACAAATTTCAATTTATTGGACTTTTAAGGGGGCTCATACAAGTTAAAAAAAATTTTTGATGAAGAGGGATTAAGATTTTACAATTTCTGTGTTAAAATCCTTTTAGATAATTGAGTAAGCTTCATTTTGGCTTAAGGGAAAGTGACTTTGGACATTTTTTGGAGATTTAGTCGAAACGTTTAAAATTTTGCTTCTCGTAAGATTTTGTTCGCATACTTGCCCAGATCTGTGGGGAAAAAATCAGGGAGACTCATCCGCAGTAGTGTCATAGAATTGACTACAATGGGCTTTATATCTGCAATAGTTTTCAAGAAAAAAATAAATACAATTTTTTGTTAATAAATTTGTTAAAAAAATTGTTTTTATTTTTTTTCTTGAAAACTATTGCAGATATAAAGCCCATTGTAGTCAATTCTATGACACTACTGGGGATGAGTCTCCCTGATTTTTTTTCCCACAGATCTGAGCAAGTATGCAAACAAAATCTTACGAGAAGCAAAATTTTAAATGTTTCGACTAAATCTCCAAAAAATGTCCAAAGTCACTTTCCCTTAAGCCAAAATGAAGCTTACTCAATTATCTTAAAATATTTTAACACAGAAATTGTGAAATCTTAATCCGTCTACATCAATTTATTTTTTTTTAAAAAAAAAAGTGCTTTGAACATGTATGAGCCCCCTTAAAGTACAATCATTGTTGTGCAAAGCACAATGGAACCGGCATGACGAGTGCTGTGCAGTCGTCGTGATTTGCACAATTCTCGTTGTACTTTAAACAATACATGTTGTACGTTTATTGTACAGTTTTGCTGTACTATCCACACTTTTTCTTGCAGTGTAACCTGAGGCCGGGCAGCACGGTGCAGTGAGACTTGGTGGGGGCACCGGCCCGCCTGGGCTGGCCTGGGCTGCCCCAAAACGGGGACGGATTAGGGCGCCCGCCGGCCCCCAAGCGACACTGTGGCAAAAAGGTACGGAAAATTCTGGTAATTTTTTTGCCAGGATTCTCCGTAGCCCTCTTATCAATATTCTCCGTAGGCTCTTACAGTATTCTCCGTAGGCTCTTACAGTATTCTCCGTAGGACCGCACAGTCTTCTCCGTAGGACCTGGAAGACTGCAAGGTCCGACGGAGATCACTGTAAGGTCCTACGGAGAAGACTATGCGGTCCAACGGAAAGTACCGAAAGAGCCTTCGGAGAATCCTGACAAGGGGGCTACGGAGTTACCACAAGCTGGTTACAGAATTTTCCGTAGCTTTTTGCCACAGTGGAAGCGTCCACACCCTGCCGGGCAGGTAGACCCGGGCCGGGACCGCGGGTCTGGCCGGCCGGCAAAGGGATTACCGGCGGCTTGATCCGCGCGCTTGTGGAATATTCCAGTGGAAATGTTAAACCACACTAAATGTTTATGTACAATTTTGTACGTGGTGCGATGCATGACTTTAAACTTGTGTACCGTCGTGCACAAAATTTTGCGTGTATTTGATTAAACAAGGTAGGTGTACGCCAGACCGTGTCTTGTCGTAACAGGCTTCGCGATGCTGCGCCAGTTATGACAATCCACGCCTGGCGTTACACCTACCTTGGCCTGCGGCGCTTGCCTGCCTTCGGCAGGCTAGGTTTCTTTTCCAGGCATCCGCATACCAATTTGCGTGATTGAAGGTCAAAACAGCATTTGATTTCGTGCCGAGGGCTGCATTGGCCTGACTTTTTAACTTGTCGAGGCTGGGGGGCTCCGCCCCCCAGACCCCCCTTTCCTCAAGTCAGAAGTGATCTGCCTGCAGAAAACTCGATTTTTCGCCGTTTTTTAGGTGTTTTTCGGCTATAAAAACCGAACCAGTTGAGCTAGGATTGTGAAATTTCGCGTGTGCTGAGCCAAGGACATACCCAAAAAGTGTGCAAAATCTCACCGAGATCGGCCGAGCCGTTCAGGAGGAGTAGCGCGGACACACACACACACACGCACGCACGCAGACAGGAAAAATTTTTCAACCCCACCTGAGTAACAGGCTTCGCTATCGCTCAGCCAATTTATGCACGCTGCCAACTGAAGTGTGTACATAGTACAATCCTATTAGAGCATACTTCCAAGCACACTCTTATTTACAGCATACTTGCCAGGCATACGCCATAATAGAGTGTGCAGTGCATGTACACATTTAAAAAGAGTGTGCCTGGCAAGTACACCTAAACTGGGCCATGCTTTTAGATACACTGGTAAAACTAAAGCGTAGTTTTACCCTCTGTTTTCAAGCGTAACAGGCTCATCCGCCAAGATTCTCCCCATCTAAATGCATGGGGGAATTTCCACACTCTCATTCCAGAAACGTGACATCACACTGAAACGAACGTGACCAAATGTCACGTTCGTTTGAGCATTGTGTCACATTCGTCTGGGTGTGAATTGGCCAAAAATCAGCTTGTTCACATTCAAACGAACGTGACACAATGCTTAAACGAACGTGACACTTTGTCACGTTCCTTTCAACGTGATGTCACGTTCCTGGAATGAGAGTGCAATGTATGCTTCATTTCAAGCGTAACGTCTTCAAACGTAACTTAATGCTTGACTCAAGCATAGAGTTACGCTTTAGTTTAACCAGTGTAGGACTAATCGAGTGTATTTTAGCGTGTACATGACAGGCACACTCTACTTTAGCGTGTGCCTGGCAAGTATGCAGTAAATAAGAGTGTGCTTGGAAGCATGCTTTAATAAGAGTGCACTTTGTACTCACTTCAGTTAGCAGAGTATCTTTAAGCGTGATATTATGCAATTTCCACGTATGCAGGGTCCACTGGACGGGCGTGGAGAAAATTCGAGTTTTGAGGGGCTTATTTTGTTCATCCTTGCTATCTTTGAATCATCTATGCATTTCTGCAGATTTGCTGTAGATTTTGTTTTTGACTCGTTCTGTACAGTCAGCTTCTTCCATTTGGCCGCTGACCGAGAGGCGCGTTTTCCAAATAGAAAACAGTCAGGGGGCTGGGCCCGGCGGCCGGCCGGCTGACCCTCGCAGGTAGGGATTACGGCGCCGTAATCCCCCGGTCAGGCTCAATTTTGAAAATGCAATTTGCGTTCAAATTTTCGGCAAACTGTTTAGCGGAGCGAGTTCCTGGCGTCAAAATAGGCAGGGTCAACGAAAATCTATGACAAAACTTGAATTTTTGACCAAGGTACGGTACTTTTTCGTTTGAACAAGAAAACGTTCAAGTTTGAACGCTTTTGATCCGCGCAACGCACACCTTTTTTTATGGGGAGGTTCTACTGAAAATCTTACTTTCTTCAAATTGAGTCCCATTATCAATATTCATTGTAAATTTAAAGTATTTCACAGTAAACAGTTAAATTTGAAGTTGAGAGAGCAATACCTAGCCCCAAATCCAGTCGAAGAGGAATTCTCTGCTATATCCAGTCGTAACTTGAAAAATTCTCCTACGCAAAGTATTTCAACGTAAACTGATGTTCTGGGCATTTTTCACTTCTTTGGTTCATAATTGATAAACCGTGGCATTAGTAAGATACTGGGACCATAACAAAATCATAAGCTGTGTTTTTAAGAAAGCATGTCAATAAAATTACAAGAAAATGGTAAAAACCCTGATATTTTAGTGTCTTTTTTTCTGAAAAGCAACGTCAAAATTAATTTGTTGGGTCCCATGTCTTGGTGATGCCACGCTTTATTGCATATGAGCCAAAGAAGTGAAAAATGTCAAGATCATCAGTTTACGTTGAAATACTTTGCGTAGGAGAATTTTCTAAGATATTGCTAAAATAGGCTGAGAAAACCTCTTCGACTGGATTTGGAGGGAGGAATTGGGCTCTAAATTTCATGTTTGACTATTAACTATGTAGTACTATACATCTGCAACAATTTTTTACACTGGGGTTCAATTTGAAAAATGCAATATTTTCAGTAGAACCTCCCCTTAACTCCGGGAGATCCTTATGCTTTGAACAACATACTGACAAAATTTCAACTTGATCTGACATTTACCTACGAACATCCATAATCAACACTCGTACACTCCCAGACCTATACGGACTTGTTTCTCTCTTGCGACTACCGTTAGCTGGCACGCCTTGACCACTCGATAGTTGGCACGGAGTCATCCCCACCACCTCGGCTGGGGCAGCGCGGCTAGGACCAGCCAGGCCGAGGGTCTGGCCGGCCGATGGCACCCCCATAACCCGATTCCGAAGTCAAAAGTCCCGACATCAAGCAGGCTCGTGGCCAGAGCTCCTTTGGCCTCGAAAAAATCACCACTTCCTCCTCCGCCTGGACGGCGGCCTCGTGGTACGTCCTCGTATCTCCGAAAGTACAGGACGTAGAAGAAAACGGACTTCGGCGTTGGCCAGTGTGAGAGCCGGCAGCCTCAACGGCGCAGTGAAACATGGGGGTCATCATGGTGAACCCCAGGGAAACGTCATCGGGGACCTCATGACGTGGTCGACGACGTGACCCATCTGGAGTCCAAGAAAGCAAGGGACTGGCCTTGGAATACAAGGGAGCCTCCTTGGAATGGGAGCACACTTCCAAGGGACTTCCTTGAAGTTTTCCATCTTTCCTTGTTTTTCAAGGAGTCGCGCTAACGGTGGGGTGACTACCAGCAAATGCCAGTGATACCAATGTGATCGGTGTGCCACCCGTCAAAATTTAAACTTGATAATGAATACAAATCAAATCGCCGGGAGATTCGAAAATTTATCTAAAAAGGTTAATTTTGCGCTACGGCCCTCCCAACTCAAGAGCCCATGAAAACTAAACGAAATAACTCTCGGGCTTGCTCCTTTGGCTTGTCGTCATCAGACATATACTCTATAGAAACGATACTGAAGACTTAATTCTGGTCAAATAATTCAAAATGAATCGGCGAATTTTTTTTCGGCTTCTGGAGTTTTTTTTTTAAATTGAACAGTATTTGGTTTGGAACGGTGTAGAAATGGGCTTGGCCATAAGCTTTAACTGAAAAATGGACACGTCAATCATACTTATTTATTCAGAAGAAAGGTACAAACAGTGCAGGAAAGTATCCACTGTATGCACATCATAAACCGTGCAAATGAGTCCAATTGATACAAAGCTTGTGTAACGGTGACAAGGTTTAATGAACGCCCTCTTCCAATGATCAGTGAACGCGTGCTTAAAACAAACGAATCTTATTTAAGAGATGGAATGTCAAAATCATATATATTCATGTATACGAATCGGAAATATAATCAATTTTAAATGAGGATCTAAGACCTACAGAGCCGAATCATATTGTTCTAAATGACTTCCCACTTAACTCCTACAAATGAAAAGAAAAACCTATAATTTTGTAAAAAGACAAAAAATTAACACGAAGAAGTTGGAGTCCTACTTTGAACAAATTGGGACTTAATATATAAGTTATGCGCCTTATGAGCAGTCTCAACCAGTACACTAAAGCCTGCCGCTTAGTAATCCTCCTCCGGAACAATACAGCTTCACGTTTTTTCTCAAAGAGAGTGCGCAGTTGAGACTGCTGTCATCCTAACTTAACTCCCATTTCCCAACTGGATGTTCAACTCGTTTCCTTCGGTGTGGGTTCGCAGATGCCTTTTCACATAAAACCTTCGGCTGAACCTCTTGCTGCAAACCATGCACGCAAAGGGCTTGTCTCCTGTGTGGGTCCGGAGATGCTTTCTGAGGCTGCCACCTTCGCTGAACTTCTTGTTGCAAACCGTGCAATCAAAGGGCTTCTCTCCTGTGTGGGTCCGGAGATGCACTCTGAGATTGCCACCATGGAGGAACCTCTTATTGCAGACAGTGCACTCAAAGGGCTTGTCTCCTGTGTGGGTCCGGAGATGCATTCTGAGGCTGCCACTTGCAGTGAACTTCTTGTTGCAAACCGTGCACTCAAAAGGCTTGTCTCCTGTGTGGGTCCGGAGATGCTTTCTGTGGCCGCCAACTTGGCTGAACTTCTTGTTGCAGACCGTGCACTCAAAGGGCTTGTCCCCTGTGTGGGTCCGGAGATGCATTCTGAGGTCGCCACTTTGGATGAACTTCTTGTTACAAACCGTGCCCTCAAAGGGCTTGTCTCCTGTGTGGGTTCGGAGATGCGCTCTGAGATGACCACCTTGGGTGAACTTCTTGTTGCAGACCGTGCACTCAAAGGGCTTGTCTCCTGTGTGGGTTCGGAGATGCTTTCTGAGGTTGCCACTTTCGATGAACTTCTTGTTGCAAACCATGCACTCAAAAGGCTTCTCCCCCGTGTGGATTCGGAGGTGCGATTTGAGCTTGCTACGTTGGCTGAACTTCTTGTTGCAAACCGTGCACTCGAAAGGCTTGTCCCCTGTGTGGGTCCGGGGATGCATTCTGAGGTCGCCACTTTGGATGAACTTCTTGTTACAAACCGTGCCCTCAAAGGGCTTGTCTCCTGTGTGGGTTCGGAGATGCGCTCTGATATGACCACCTTGGGTGAACTTCTTGTTGCAGACCGTGCACTCAAAGGGCTTGTCTCCTGTGTGGGTTCGGAGATGCGCTCTGAGATGACCACCTTGGGTGAACTTCTTGTTGCAGACCGTGCACTCAAAGGGCTTGTCTCCTGTGTGGGTCCGGAGATGCTTTCTGAGGTTGCCACTTTCGATGAACTTCTTGTTGCAAACCATGCACTCAAAAGGCTTCTCCCCCGTGTGGATTCGGAGGTGCGATTTGAGCTTGCTACGTTGGCTGAACTTCTTGTTGCAAACCTTGCACTCAAAAGGCTTCTCTCCCGTGTGGGTCCGCAGGTGCACAGTCAGCCCGGACGCGGACTCATTCTTCTTGCCGCACACTGGACAGTCGTGACCCATTTTGAGTTTGGGAATGAGGAAACCCTGAAATACAGAAATAATTGGTCACCACTAACAAAGAAAATATAGCCTTGAGAGGAAAATGAATACAAATTCAGGTGTGGGGCATGCATGCACTATAAATCGATGGGCAAGGATCGTCTAACGATTACAACACTGCAAGAAAGAGTGTGAGTAGTACACTGAAAGTTACGAGAACTGTGGGAAAAAGAATAACAAGTTGACGGCACTTGTCGAGATCAAGAGGCATGGACTGCACTCGTTGACGGTTTTATTTTACTTTGTAACAATTCACTAATTTTTTTGATGTGAGAAGTGTCACACAACTGGCAGTGACCAAAAAAGCTTAAATGATTGCTTTACATAATCGCATTGGTGGCATTTGAAATGAGTTCGTTACAAAACTTGGGATAACAATGCAAGAACTACGTGCGGTCTTCTTGTTCATTACTGTGTCAAAATATGCAAAGTCTGTCACTCTCAGACTGGTATTGACTTTTTATCTTTTGTCGAAGAGTATTTTACACAAAAAGTACTATTTCCTCAATATCTATGTAAGATTTTGGACGTTATGTTGACTTTAAGTCAGTTTGCTATTGACAAAGAGTCAATACGCTATTGACTTTGGTGGAACTGTGAATATTTGATAGCAACTGGTGAGAAAAAGTGAATACAAGTCTGAGAGTATACCTGTTGCATGTGAACGCATGAGAACGCACACTCAACATCTTATGATCGTTTTCATACGTATTACGATGGTTTTACATCCTGAGGAACGCATATATGTGCACGTCCGTAATATGCTTAGTTTTCAGCGTACACTCTCAGAGCCGTTCTAACATTTTTGTCTGTACTTTCACTTAAAAATTATTTCTATGTAATTTATGAACAATTTTTTAGGTATCTTACTGATAAAAATCTATGTGTAAAAGTATTGACATTTTTTATGTTAGCCTTACTAACAAATCTGTCACTAGTTATTTAAAAGAAGGATGGAGGCCTTCTGGGACTAATTTGTTAGTACCTACTAAGAGATTTTGTCAGAAGTAAGAAAGAAACGGAGTCAGTAGTAACTAATAAATAAAGTCAGTACATACAAATAAAATTCTATGTACATGATCAATATTTGTCGCAGACATTACATATATTTTTATGGACTTGCAATACTTGTCGCTGACTAACAAGTGGTCCAACAAGCTATCCGTTCCAAAATAAATCTTGTCGCTGAAAAAATTAGCATTGAAAGTGTCGTTTAGTAACGACAAAAGTTTTGCCGGTGATTATTCTGGTAAATTTTCTTCAACAAATTTATCAACAATTTTATGAACAAACTTGTTAGTAATGTACTAAAAAGATTGTCTATGGAATTGTACATATACAATGGACTTTTTATTCGTGGCATGTGAACAAATTTATTAGTATTATTGTTGCGAAATTCATATGTTACTTACGAAATGTTGCTGCTGCTATGAACAAAAAGTCAATATGGCTTTGACAGTGTAAAGTATGTACGATTTCATCGTATTACGCAAGATATTGTTGTAGTACGTTTGTTACGATGACCCTTTCATCATAAGAATCTGAGGGTGCGGTTCCGGAAAAAAGGAGAGATGTTCCGTATTTGGCAGGTACGGAAGGGTGAGACAAACTTTAGACCAGATTTTGTAACGTACTGTTTCGGGACTTTGGTCTTACAATAAAAATTAGTGGTACCCTACATAACCTCGAAACACCTTGTAACGTTAAGAGTGCGTGCCAAACATTCTAATCGATTCTAACAGCAGACCGTGAAGACAGAACCAAACTGTTGATGCGGTGTCACTTACCTGTCAGTTCTGTTTTGATGAAGATCGCCGACACACTGGTTGAACGACCGGATCCCTGCGAGAAACGACGGTGGATTGCAGCAGACCACGCCTTGGCGGAACCGGCTAGCTACTCGGTCCACGTCGGACTGCGAACGGTGCTCCGGGACAGGGTCGTCAACATAAAGATCGAAGGCTGGAGGATAAAAACCGGAAGTTACGAATGATGGTCCGGTCGCGCAGATGTCGGACTGGCTTGGCTTGGGCTCACCTCATGTCTCCACTTCCGGTTTGAAGTTCCGCTTCAATACTGGATTACCGACTGCCAGATGCGATAATTCAGAGGCGTCTTAAACCTGAAAGGTGAAGAACAAAATCAAAAGACAGAGGTAACCGGAAACGACCGCCTACTGCAGTTGTGATGAGATGTCAGACGTTTTCGGCAGTAAATATTTGATTCTAGGGTTTCCCTGTGGCAAGACTACAGCGTAGTAAACGCGCCATTCAAGCGCACAACTACGCTTCAAGATTATCCCCCGTGCATTTAGAATTGAGGAAAGAAGCGGATGAGTTCTTGTACGCTTCGAGGAGGGCGGATACTAGCAACCTAACTGGCTACTTAGTACATAGTTAATAATGCATGCTTGCAAGTACACACTTACTAATGCATACTTGGTCAAGTACACACTTGGCTGCTTGGCAAGGAGACACTTACAAATGCCTATGCTTTGCATGGAGTAATACGTCGCCATGCATGCGTTGGTGAGTGTGCACTTGCCAAGCACGCGTTTGTAAGTGCGTGGTTGGCCGAGTATGCGTTTGTAAGTGTGTACTAATTAGGCAGTTATGTTTTTGGTATACAGACTGTGCGCTTCACGAAAGGCGTCACACTACGCTTTTCTTTAACCTGTGCAGGCAGATGACAACTGAACGTGGAATTTTAAAAGTTCATCAGGTTTAACATAATTATGTCGAATCAAGGTCAGGGATGATATCTGCGCCGTAAATGTTTTCGTTCAAATGTTGTACTAGACAACACAGTTTTTGTGCAACTGAATTAGTGGTACACAATTGTATGCTACTTTGCACTGAAATAGAAAATTGTTTGCTGTTCTTCGCACGAAATTTGTACGAAAAATTCATTCGCACAAAACAATGTGATGTTGACGACAAAATTCCTCATAACATTTCGTGTTGACATTTCTGTTACAACTTCTTCCAACTGCAATCAAACGACGATAGTACTACTGAGATCAAGTACCTTGAGCCGTCTCAAAGCAAAATATGAAGCCAGAGATCCATTTCGTGGGCAATTTTATGCTTTCAGATGCATTTGGCCGTTCAGATGACCTGTCCGTTCTGAGTACAGACGAGTATGTGTGTACTTCGTACACAGATAAGTGCTGTATGTGTGCGTATCAAGACGAAATTTTTAGTGTGATTCGAAAAGAAGTTAAAAATTTGACTCAAATCGTGCGCGCAGTGACACCATGTTATTTTGCAGGGCTTTAAATCGTGCCTCATATCCGCACTTATTTGACTGGATATTTGATAGGAGGGTGGCTCAGCGGTGGCTACCAACCAATCGCAGTGGTACCAATGTGGTCGATGTGCCACCCGCCAAAATTTAAATTTGGCAGTAATAAAAAGCAAATTTCCGGGAAATACAAAAAATAATCTAAAATGGTTTGTTTTGCGCTACGGTCCTCTTTACTCCGAGAGCCCAAGAAAACCAAACGAAATAACTCGGAGGCTTGCTCCTTGGGCTTGTCCTAATTGGACCTGAACTCTTCAAACGATACTTTGAACTTAATTTTGGTCAAATAATTCATGATGGATCGGCAAAACCCCTTTTTCGGCTTCTTGAGTTTGTTTTTGGGACGGTGTAGAAATGGGCTTGCTCTAAGATATAACATTTGGTTTAACTAAAAAATGGACACGTCAATAATACTTTTTTATTCAATATGGAGGCAAAAACAGTAGTGCATACAAGTAACATCATTAAACGTGCAACAGAGTCAAATTGAGAGAAGGCTTATGAAACGTTGACCAAAATCAATCAATCCATGCCATCTTCCAAAGATCAACGGAAGCGTCCTTAAAATAAACGAGTCATATTTCAGAGACGGAAAGTCAAATTCACATATTGTCATGTATTCGAATCGGAAATAAAATCGTAATCAAATGAGGGCCTAAGACTTCCAAAGCCCAGTCCTATTGTTCTAAATGACTTCCCATTTAACATCTAACAATGAGAAAAAAACTATAAGCTTGTAAATGACAAGAGATTGAGACACGGATAGTTTTCCTAACATTAAACAAATCCGGAAAAAGTATCTTAGTTATGCGCCTCGCGAACAGTCTCAACCGTTACACCTAGGCCTGTCGCTTAGTAATCGTCTTCCGGAAAAATACAGCTTGCCGTTTTTCCTCAACGAGAGTGCGGAGTAGAGACTGCTGCCATCTTGACTTAACTCCCGTTTGCCGACTGGATGTTCAAATCGTGTCCTTGAGTGTGAGTTCGCAGGTGCGTTTTCAGATGAGAAATTTGCCGGAACCTCTTGCTGCAAACCGCGCACTCAAAGCGCTTGTCTTCTGTGTGGGCCCGGAGATGCTTTCTGAGGCTGCCACCTTGGCTGAACTTCTCGTTGCAAACCGTGCACTCAAAAGGCTTGTCTCCTGTGTGCGTCCGGAGATGCACTCTGAGATTGCCACCATGGAGGAACTTCTTGTTGCAAACCGTGCACTTAAAGGGCTTGTCCCCTGTGTGCGTCCGGAGATGCATTCTGAGGCTGCCACTTGCCGTGAACTTCTTGTTGCAAACCGTGCACTGTAAGGGCCTTTCTCCTGTGTGGGTCCGAAGATGCATTCTGAGGCTGCCACTTGTGGTGAACTTCTTGTTGCAGGCCGTGCACTCAAAGGGCTTGTCCCCTGTGTGGGTCCGGAGGTGTACTCTGAGCTTGACACTATCGATGAACTTCTTGTTGCAAACCGTGCACTCAAAAGGCTTGTCCCCTGTGTGGGTCCGGAGATGATTTCTGAGGCTGCCACTTTCAGTGAACTTCTTGTTGCAGACCGTGCACTCAAAAGGCTTGTCCCCTGTGTGGGTCCGGAAATGCTTTCTGAAGCTACTACCTTGGCTGAATTTCTTGTTCCAAACCGTGCACTCAAAGGGCTTGTCTCCTGTGTGGGTCCGGAGATGCTTTCTGAGGCTGCCACCTTCGCTGAATTTCTTGTTGCAAACCGTGCACTCCAATGGCTTCTCTCCTGTGTGGATCCTGACGTGCGTTTTGAGGTTGCAACGATGGCTGAACTTCTTGTTGCAAACCGTGCACTCAAATGGCTTCTCTCCCGTGTGGGTCCGCAGGTGCACAGTCAGCTTGGACGCGGACTCATTCTTCTTGCCGCACACTGGACAGTCGTGACCCATTATGAGTTTGGGAATGAGGAGTCCCTGAAATACAGAAATAATTGGTCACCACTAACAAAGAAAGAATAGCCTTCACGGTAAAAACGAAAACTGGTTTTTCCATGAAGTCGATTGTGAACGTAAAAGCTATTTCCAGGGAATTCCTGGGAAAACGAGGAACCGTTTTGACCGTATTCAGAGGAAAATGAATGCAAGTCCTGGTGTGGGACATGCATGCATTAGAAATCGATGGGCAAGGTTTGTCTAATGTTTACACAACACTGCAAGAAAAAGTGTGAGTACTTCACCGAAAGTTACGAAAACTGTGGTAAAAAGAACAACAGGTTATGTCTTAAGTGGACGGCACTTGTAGAGCATGAGAGCCCTGGACTGCACTTTTCATGCCGATTTCATTTCACTTTGTAACAATTCACTAATTTTTCTGTTGTGAGAAGTGTCACAAAATAGGCAGTGACTAAAAGGCTACTTTTAGCATTTGTGGCATTTGAAATGAGTGCAATACAAAACTTGAGATAACAGTGCAGGAACTACGTGCGGTCTTCTTTCATAAATTAGTCAAAATACGCAAAGTCCGTCACCCTCAGACTTTCATAGACTTTTTATCTTCTCTTGAAGAGTATTTTCCAGGTCAATAAAAAGTAAGTACTATTTCCTCAATATTTATGCAACATATTGTTCGTTATGTTGATTTCAATTCAGTTTGCCCGAGGGGGAAAGCACTCGCGTAATAGTCGGGTCACTCTGTCCGTAATAGCACGCGTAATAGTGTGCGTAATAGTAGCGTAATAGCTGAAATTCTCAAAATTTGATCTATTTTACGGGTTTTTTTGGTCTGTTTTCAGCTAAATCGCTATATTTTGAGGTGTAATTGGCTGAGCGATAGCGAAGCCTGTTACTCCATTGGGGTTGAAAAGTTTTTCCTGTCTGTCTGTGTGTGTGTGTGTGTGTGTGTGTCTGTCCGCACTACTCCTCCTGAACGGCTCGGCCGATCTCGGTGAGATTTTGCACACATTTTGGGCATGTCCTTGGCTCGGCACACGCGAAATTTCACTATCCTAGCTCAACTGGTTCAGTTTTTATAGCCAAAAAACACCTTAAAAACGGCGAAAAATCGAGTTTTCTGCAGGCAGATCACTTCTGTCTTGAAGAAGGGGGTCTGGGGGGGCAGAGCCCCTCAGCCCCGACAAGTTAAATAGTTACAAGGAATCTAGAATGAAGGTTAGAAGTAACCGACGATGGACAAGCAATTGCCTGCCGAAGGCAGGCTAGCGCCGCAGGCCAAGGTAGGTACGCCAGGCGCGGATTGGAGGAACAGGCAGCGAGACATCGCGAAGCCTGTTACGCCAAGACGCGGTCTGGCGTAAACCTACCTTGTAGAGCGTTATAGGCGTAATAGTCGGGTCGCAGGTTTTAGGAGTGATTTCCCCCTCGAGTTTGCCATTGGCAAAGAGTCAGTCAGTACGCAGTGGGGTACTTCGGAGAAAACATCAACCGGAAGTCAGCGAACGAACAGGACGAGACGGGACAAACAAAAGAGCGTCGCGCGGCCGTGCTGAGCTACTGAGCGGTGGTTGGGGTCGGAAGGTCGAAATTGTCGGAGTGGGGTTGCAGGCGGCGCGCGCAAGCTGACCCGAGCTGACCCCACTCTGCCCATCCCAGCCCCGAACACCGCTCAGCGCGGCGTCGCGACGCTAGTTTGTTTCTCGTTCTGTTGGTGACTTCCGGTCTGCATTTCCTCCGTAGTACCCTATTGACTTAAAAAAAAAGTCTTAAGTTGATGACAAATTAGACTTTGTAGCGGACAATATTGTACATGGTTACAAAGGAAATACTACATATTATTGCTGCTTCAAAAACTACGGAAGCAAAGAATAAAAAGTCAATCATGGAGAGAAAAAAGTCAATACGAGTCTGAGAGTATACTTGCTGCATACGCATGAAAACGGTTATGGAAAAAAGGACAGGTGTTCCGTAATTGGAAGGTACAGAAGGCTCAGACGAATTTGGGACCAGATTCTGTTACGTACAGGTTTGGGCCTTTCGTCAAACAATGGAAATCATCTACATATGTTCGAAACACCTCGTTACGTTTTGAGCTTGTGCAGAGCATTCTATACAATTCTAACAGCAGACCGTGAAAACAAGCCAACTGCAGATGCGATGTCACTTACCCCTCGGTTCTTTTTTCGTGAAGATCGGCGATAGGCTAGTTGAACGACCGGATCCCTCTCACTGCGAGACACGACGGTGGGTTGCAGTAGACCACGCCTTGGCGGAACCGGCTGGATACTCGGACCACGTCGCACTGCGAACAGTAACGGTGCTCCGGGGCTGCGTCGCCAACGTTGAAGATTGAAGGCTGGAGGATGAAAAACGGAAGTTACGAATGATGGTCCGGTCGCGCCGATGTCGGACTGGCTTGGCTTGGGCTCACCTGGTGACTCGCAGCCTCCACTTCCGGTTTTAAGTTCCGCTTCAATACTGGATAACCGACTGGCAGATGCGACAATTCAGAGGCGTCTTGAACCTGAAAGGTGATGAACAAAATCTAAAGTCAGATGTAACAGGAAACGACCGCCTACTGCAGTTGTGATGAGATGTCAGACGTTTTCGGCAGTGAATATTTGATTATAGGGTTTCGCTCTGGTAAGACTACAGCGTAGTTAACGCGTCATTCAAGCGCACAACTACGCTTCAAGATTTGCATTTAGATAGGAGGAAAGAAGCGGATGAGCTCTTGAGCTCTTGTACGCTTCAAGAAGGGCGGACACTAGAACTCAACTGTCTACTTGGTACATAGTTAAAAATGCATGCTTGCAAGTAAGGTAAAAAATCAATTGTGGGTCACGAATCAATTGTGGGTCATTTTTTTCGACGGGTCACCGCAGACCCGACAGAGATTGAATCGATTTGAATTTCGCGGTAGACCTTCCTCTAACCTTTCTTTGTCTTCCCAAATAGCGTGTATGTCCGAGCGACGACTGTAACGGCTCCTATCAGGCTTCGAAGGAAGGCCCCTCAAAAAGTCGTGAAAATGGCGCCCATCCAACGAGGCGAAAAATCGTGTGTTTTTCAAATTGCCACCGTGAAGCTATTACGAGATAAAATTGGACGCCCTTGCTGATTTAGATTCATAATAGGTCAGGGAACATAAATTTACCATAGTACGGCCGAAATCATTCGATGCCATGGTGCGCGGGTGCTGGCAAAGTAGCGTTCGCTACCATGTCAGACCCATTAATTTAGACGAATTTCAGGTAGTTTTCCTGCTATTTTTTGTTTTCTGCGCTTCTGGATGACTGATGGATCACAGTAAATTCCATTTTTCTGCTGTCACATTTAGTACTACAATACGAAGGTTATGTTAAGCTTGGGCTACAGCCCCGGATGACAACGCTAGCTCTTCCAGTCTGCCATGCTATAAGGCTTTTATGTTGGGGGGGGGGGGGGGGGGGCATTGCGGGGCTTACATAGCGCCCGGAAGGGGACCGCTCTCCAACTGCTGGCTAGGCACCCGTGGCCAGTCGCCAGTCCGGCCCTGTTAAAACGAGTCAAATTAATCCCTACAAATTAAATATTCTGACTGAAATAGATAATAAATTGTAGCAATACCTCATGACAGGGTGTGGTGTTGGATTGTCTACCACACCGGCGGCCCTACAATATGCACTACAAAAGTTTCATCTCTAATCCAGGACGTTTCACTCACATCTGTCTCAGAGTGAAATTAGCCTGTTTATGTATTTTTCCTCTTTGAGTGAAAAACGTGTCTGCTTGGTTTATTGAGAACCAGGGACCTTTAATTAATGAAAATAAGAAAATGTCTTGCAAAAGTGGTCAATTTACAAGCAAAAAGACGAAATGGCCCACAATTGATGTGACCCACAATTGATTCATTGTGCTACAGATCCTGCAGTTTTCACGATTCCGAAAAATAAATTCAGAAGTGAATTTCTCTCGTATTTAAGCAAATCATATCCAAATTTGAGCTTCCTACAATGCTGACCCACAACTGGTTCCAAAAATCAATTGTGGGCCAAAATAGACTATTTTTAAAACAGTCACAGCTTAGTAAATAAGGATGATAGACGGGGCTACTATGCTTCAAAACTTAGTCCAAGGACCATAGTTGAAGGCCGCACATGCACTTTTGTCACCAGGTCAGAATTAAAGGCCTTACTTTCGAATTTTCAAAAATGTGACCCATAATTGATTTTTTACCTTACACACTTACTAATGCATACTTGGTCAAGTACACACTTGGCTGCTTGGCAAGGAGACACTTGCAAATCCCTTTGCTTTGAATGGAGTAATACGTCGCCATGCATGCGTTGGTGAGTGTGCACTTGCCATGCACGCGTTTGTAAGTGCGTGGTTGGCCAAGTATGCGTTTGTAAGTGTGTACTAAGAAGACAACTATGTTTGTGGTATACAGACTGTGCGCTTCACGAAAGACGTCATACTACGCTTTACTTTAACCTGTGCAGGCAGATGACAACTGAACGTGGAATTTTAAAAGTTCATCAGGTTTAACATAATTATGTCGAATCAAGGTCAGGGATGATATCTGCGCCGTAAATGTTTTCGAACAAATGTCGTACGAGACAACACAGTTTTTGTGCAACTGAATTAGTGGTACACAATTGTACTCACTCTTAAAACCTTACGAAGTATTTCGAGCATACGTATAACAAACTAAAATACTTTGTTATACGAAGAAATAGCTCGTAAATTTCGAAGTATTTTCTTTGTAAGCTTACGTATGCTCAAAATACTTTGTTATACAAACTACTTTTCTTTGTAAGGCCCAAAATAGTTTGTAAGGTTTTCTCGGTGCGCTACTTTGCACTAAAATAGAAAATTGTGTGCTGTTCTTTGCACGAAATTTGTACGAAAAATTCATTCGCACAAAACAATGTGATGTTGAGGACAAAATTCCTCATAACATTTCGTGTTGACATTTCTGTTACAACTTCTTCCAACTGCAATCAAACGACGATAGTACTACTGAGATCAAGTACCTTGAGCCGTCTCAAAGCAAAATATGAAGCCAGAGATCCATTTCGTGGGCAATTTTATGCTTTCAGATGCATTTGGCCGTTCAGATGACCTGTCCGTTCTGAGTACAGACGAGTATGTGTGTACTTCGTACACAGATAAGTGCTGTATGTGTGCGTATCAAGACGAAAATTTTAGTGTGATTCGAAAAGAAGTTAAAAATTTGACTCAAATCGTGCGCGCAGTGACACCATGTTATTTTGCAGGGCTTTAAATCGTGCCTCATATCCGTACTTATTTGACTGGATTTTTGATAGGAGGGTGGCTCAGCGGTGGCTACCAACCAATGGCAGTGGTACCAATGTGCTTGATGTGCCACCCGCCAAAATTTAAATTTGACAGTTATAAAAAGCAAATTTCCGGGAAATACAAAAAATAATCTAAAATGGTTTGTTTTGCGCTACGGTCCTCTTTACTCCGAGAGCCCAAGAAAACCAAACGAAATAACTCGGAGGCTTGCTCCTTGGGCTTGTCCTTATTGGACCTAAACTCTTCAAACGATACTTTGAACTTAATTTTGGTCAAATAATTCATGATGGATCAGCAAAACCCCTTTTTCGGCTTTTTGAGTTCGTTTTTGGGACGGTGTAGAAATGGGCTTGCTTTGAAGATATAACAGTAGCTTTAACTAAAAAATGGACACGTCAATAATACTTTTTTTTATTCAATATAGAGGCAAAAACAGTAGTGCATACAAGTAACATCATTAAACGTGCAACAGAGTCAAATTGAGAGAAAACTTATGAATCGTTTACCAGAATCAATCAATCCATGCCATCTTCCAAAGATCAACGAAAGCGTGCTTAAAACAAACGAGTCATATTTCAGAGACGGAAAGTCAAATTCACATATTGTCATGTATTCGAATCGGAAATAAAATCATTTTCAAATGAGAGCCTAAGACTTCCTGTGCCCAGTCCTATTGTTTTAAATGACTTCCCACTTTACTTCTAACAATGAGAAAAAACTATAAGCTCGTAAATGACATTAGATCGAGACACGGATAGTTTCCCTACATTAAACAAATTCGGACTAAATATCTTAGTTATGCGCCTCATGAACAGTCTCAACCGGTACACTTCGGCCTGCCGCCCAGTAATCGTCTTCCGGAAAAATACAGCCTGCCATTTCTCCTAAAAGAGAGTGCGCAGTTAAGACTGAGACTGCTGTCATCTTGACTTAACTTCCATTAGCCAACTACATGTTCAAACCGTTTCCTTCAGTGTGGGTTCGCAGATGCTTTTTCAGATGAGAGTTTTGGCAGAACCTCTTGCTGCAAACCGTGCACTCAAAGGGCTTGTCTCCTGTGTGGATCCGGAGATGCACTCTGAGATTGCCACCATGGAGGAACCTCTTATTGCAGACCGCGCACTCAAAAGGCTTGTCTCCTGTGTGGGTCCGGAGGTGTACTCTGAGCTTGCCACTTTCGATGAACTTCTTGTTGCAAACCGTGCACTCAAAGGGCCTTTCTCCTGTGTGGGTCCGGAGATGCTTTCTGAGGCTGCCACTTCTGGAGAACTTCTTGTTGCAGACCGTGCACTTAAAGGGCTTGTCCCCAGTGTGGGTCCGGAGATGCACTCTGAGGTCGCCACCATGGATGAACTTCCTGTTGCAGGCCGTGCACTCAAAGGGCTTGTCTCCTGTGTGAGTTCGGAGATGCACTCTGAGGCTGTCACTTCTGGTGAACTTCTTGTTGCAGACCGTGCACTCAAAGGGCTTGTCTCCTAAGTGGGTCCGGAGATGCTTTCTGAGGTCGCCACCTTGGTTGAACTTCTTGTTGCAAACCGTGCACTCGAAGGGCTTCTCTCCTGTGTGGATTCGGAGGTGCGGTTTGAGCTGGCTACGTTGGCTGAACTTCTTGTTGCAAACCGTGCACTCAAAAGGCTTCTCCCCCGTGTGGGTCCGCAGGTGCACAACCAGCTTGGACGCGGACTCATTCTTCTTGCCGCACACTCGACAGACGTGACCCATTTTGAGTTTGGGAATGAGGAGTCCCTGAGACACAGAAATAGTTGGTCATCACTTAGAAAGAAAATAAAGCCTTTACAAGAAAATGAATGCAAGGCCTCGTGTGGGAGATGCATTCACCAGAAATCGATGCACTCTACAAATAACAGGAAAAGTAGCGATATACATTGGCAACTTTGGCCCGTCCCGTTCATCAGGGAATGTGCAAATTTCGCCTATGTTTAACACCTTCGCGCCGAAGACAATGTTGGTGGAAAAGCCTAGATGCCGAAGGTGCTAACTACCGAACCGTACGTCGCAACCACATTGCACATGGATATTCGGACTTGGTATGACCACCCAAACACCATGCGCCAAAAATCTCCTATACGAGAATTATGTTCTCGTGTCGGCATCTGAGCCTTTGCCGTACGAGAACCATGTTCTCGTACCGGCTGAAAGGCCACAATTGGTGGTAAAGGAATGATGATAAAATTAGAACTCAACAAAAAAAATGGACTCAGCCTCTTTACACCGGTGCGAGAACATGGTTCTCGCACGATAAAAGCCCAAATGCCGATACGAGAACATGGTTCTCGTCGCGAGCTTTTTTCGTTCAAAACCTCTAGAAAAGATGGGGTAACTCTGATCAAAAAAGCGATGCCATATTTGGCACGAGAACCATGTTCTCGTGCTGATCGCAAACACGAGAACCATGTTCTCGTACCGGCGGGAACGCCACTTCACCAAGGTAAATTCACAAAAGTACGAGGACGTTTTTTTGTGAATTTACCTTGGTGAAATGGCTTTCCCGCCGGTACGGGAACATGGTTCTCGTGTTTGCGATCCGTTCCTGCCGGCACGAGAACCATGTAAAAATTTGAATAAAAAGAATGCCCAATATATACCCTACTGGGATTTGAACCCGGGTCCAAACTTCTCCGATTCGCTTGAAACTGGCACGGTTGGTTTTGTTTCGTCGCCCCGATTCCAAAAAGACCCCTACATGACCTAGCAGTATCCGTAGCCGAAATCCTCCTCGACCCAATGTAGACCATGATGCACCTGCAGCAGCGCCCCCGGAGCTCGGATCGGATTTGCTGCCACCGGGCGGTTCTTAGGGTCACCCAAGGAGGCTGCATACCAAATTTGGTCAAGATCGGACCACGGGAAGTCCTCGGACGGACGGACGGACGCACGCACAGCAGGGATCATACTATATGCCCGTCCCTACGTCATTTTTTTTTTTTACGAAAAATAAACGGGACGGGCCAAAAATGTCCTGTCAACGCCGTTAATTTATTACCAATGTTTGCTGTTATGCAATTCACGGCGTTTGCTGTGAACTAGTTCACGGCGTTCACTGTGATCTTGGTTACAGTGTTCACTGTGATCTGGCCACAGTAAACGCCGTGAATTGGAGCCTGATTTGCAGCACTTCGGTGCTCAGCGGCGTCAAACTCACAGTGTTTACTGTGGACCAGATTACAGTGAACACCGTGAACAAGATCACAGTGAATTCCGTGAGCAGATCACAGTAAACGCTGTGAATTGACCCACACAGTGAAAACTGGTAATAAATTCACGGCATTGACAGGACATTTTTGGTAGAGTGATGGGCACAGTTTGTCTAACGTTAACAAAACTAGAAGAAGAACGGTGAGTAGTAACACTCTCAGCCTTATATGATATTTTTCTCTCTTGCTTGTAACGTCTTTTGAGCAAACGTAAAACGTACTGATTTCTTTTTAACTATGCACAATATTGATCATTTCAAGGATAAAATTGTCAATAGATCACTTTGAAATGGAAAAGTACATTGCACATGACAAAAAGTCAGGTTTAATGGACTAAATACATTATACAATGAACAAAATAGTGCATAGCTAAATATTACGTTTGCACAAAGAATCTTGTAACAAGAGATAAAAAGTCAATACGAGGCTGAGAGTGCTACGAAAGTACCGAAAACTGTGGTAAAAAGAACAACAGGGTTTGTCGCAAGTATGTCGAGACTTGTAGAAAGTATAACGAAGCCTGGACATCACACCGTTAAAACGTCCCTTTGGAATCCAAAATGAACGAGCAAAACAAAGGGAGTCTCTTGGAATTGGCACTAATTCCAAGGAGTCCTCTTGAAATTTAGCGAACTTTGCGTGAATCCATGGGACTCCCTTGGAGTTTTGTGATTCTCCAAGGAAGGTGCTTGAAATGTCGCTACGCCTCGCGCCTTTGATCTGTCAGAAGTTAAGCAATGAGAGATTAGAATCGTTTCCGGGATAACAATTTGATACTGTTCAGTAGTCAAAGCAAGAAAAGCAAAAAAGGGTACCGAAAGAGTGAAAACTAAGGGTGAAAACAAGCGCGGCCGAAACTCTTAAACCTCACTTTTAAGTTCACGTCCCCAGCATGAAATTCCAAAAGAAATCCTCGAAATCCAATTCCGAGACCCCTCGTTTACTCAATTTTAAGAGAGTGCATTGGAATCGATTTCAGAGGAATCCCTTGGTTTCGTCCTAACTCCCTCGGGTTAGAGAAAATACCCTGACTTCCAAGGGGACGTTTTTGACGTGCACTCGTCACACTGCAAAGCCGGTGGTAAGTTTGCTTGCCACAGATTTGGCAAGCCGTTTTGAATGCCAAAATTTGGCAAGCTTGGCCGGGAAATATCACCCAGCTTGCCAAAATTTGGCCAGCTTATGAAGATTTCCGACCAAAGCTTGCCAAATTTTGGCATTCAAAACGGCTTGCCGAATCTGTGGCAAGCAAACTTACCACTGGCTTTGCAGTGCATGCCGGTTTCATTTTACTTCGTAACAATTCACAGATTTTTCTGATGTGATAAGTGTCACAGAATAAGCAAGTGATCAAAAGGCTAAAATGTATAATTGCTTTCAAGTATCGCATTTGTGGCATTCGAAATGAGTTCATTACAACATTTGAGATAACAATGCAGGAACTAGCGGTGATCTTCTTCTTCATTACTTTGACAAAATAAGCGAGGTCCGTACCTGGTCCATGTGAACGCATGAAAACGGTTACGGAAAATAACCTAACCTAACGGGACGGGCCAAAAATACAGATGTTCCGTATTTGGTAGGTACGGGAGGCTCAGACAAATTTTTGACCAGATTTAGTTACGTACTTGTTTGGGACTTTCCTCTAACAATGGAAAATTTGAACCCTACAATTGCTCGAAACACCTTATAACGTTTCGAGCTTGTGAAGAGCATTTACCGTGAGAACAGATGCAAACTGTAGATGCGGTGTCACTTACCTGTCAGTCCTGTTTACGTGAAGATCACCGACGGACAGGTTGAACGACCGGATCCCTCACACTGCGAGACACGACGGTGGATTGCAGTAGACCACGCCTTGGCGGAACCGGCTGGATACTTGGTCTACGTCGGGCTGCGAACGGTGCTCCGGGACAGCGTCGCCAACGTTGGAGATTGAAGGCTGGAGGATGAAAAACGGAAGTTACGAATGATGGTCCGGTCGCGCCGATGTCGGACTGGCTTGGCTTGGGCTCACCTGGTGACTCGCAGCCTCCACTTCCGGTTTCCGGTTCCGCTTCAATACTGGATCACGGACCGGCAGATAGGATGTTCGGAGGCGTCTTGGACCTGCAGTGTGAAGAAAAATATCAGAAGACAGAAATAATCGGAAACGACCGCCTACTGCAGTTGTGATGAGATGTCAGACGTTTTCGGCAGTGAATATTTGATTCTAGGGTTTCACTCTGGTAAGACTACAGCGTAGTTGCACGCGTCATTCAAGCGCCCAACTACGCTTAAGATTATCCCCCCGTGCATTTAGATTGGAGGAAAGAAGAGGATGAGATCTTGCACGCCTCAAGAAGGGCGGACACTAGCAACCTAACTGTCTACTTAGTACATAGTTAAAAATGCATGCTTTCAAGTACACACTTATTAATGCATTCTTGGTCAAGTACATACTTGGCTGCTTGGCAAGGAGACACTTACAAATACCTTTGCTTTGCATGGAGTAATACGTCGCCATGCATGCGTTGGTGAGTGTGCACTTGCCAAGCACGCGTTTGTAAGTGTGTACTAAGTAGACAGTTATGTTTGTGGTATACAGACTGTGCGCTTCACGAAAGGCGTCATACTACGCTTCACTTTAACCTGTGCAGGCAGATGACAACTGAACGTGGAATTTTAAAAGTTCATCAGGTTTAACATAATTATGTCGAATCAAGGTCAGGGATGATATCTGCGCCGTAAATGTTTTCGTACAAATGTTGTCGAGACAACACAGTTTTTGTGCAACTGAATTCGTCGTACACATTTGTACTCTACTTTGCACTAAAATAGAAAATTGTGTGCTGTTCTTCGCACGTAATTTGTACGAAAAATTCATTCGCACAAAACAATGTGATGTTGAGGACAAAATTCCTCATAACATTTCGTGTTGACATTTCTGTTACAACTTCTTTCAACTGCAATCAAACGACGATAGTACTACTGAGACCAAGTACCTTGAGCCGTCTCAAAGCAAAATATGAAGCCAGAGATCCATTTCGTGGGCAATTTTATGGTTTCAGATGCATTTGGCCGTTCAGATAACCTGTCCGTTCTGAGTACAGACGAGTATGTGTGTACTTCGTACACAGATAAGTGCTGTATGTGTGCGTATCAAGACGAAATTTTTAGTGTGATTCGAAAAGAAGTTAAAAATTTGACTCAAATCGTGCGCGCAGTGACACCATGTTATTTTGCAGGGCTTTAAATCGTGCCTCATATCCGTACTTATTTGACTGGATATTTGATAGGAGGGTGGCTCAGCGGTGGCTACCAACCAATGGCAGTGGTACCAATGTGGTCGATGTGCCACCCGCCAAAATTTAAATTCGACAGTTATAACAAGCTAGGGCCCGCCCTTCCGTCGAACCGAGTTGCCAGCTCCGCTTCGCTGCGCCGGCAACCCGGTTCGACAGGGGGCCGGCCCAGCTTGGCCTGCCGGCGGCCTTTTCTCGGGCCTTCGGCCCTCGCATCAGACCCAACTTGGCCAGTCGAAGGCCCGGGCCTTCGGCCCGCTCGCATCACGCACACCGTGAGCGGGTAAAGCAAAGTTATCGATGTACCATCGTGACTTAGGCCCGCCCTTCTATTCACAATATGCAATAGTCCTTACACTTTTTACTCCAACTGTCCTTAGAATATGCCCGTTTCATTTGTCTCTTCGCCCTCATTCCGAAAATACACATATTTGCCATGCTACTGCAACTCCTTGCAAAAGAGGCACAGCAGGAGCGCAAAACGAGTCCATCGCACTTTTTCCCATAACTCATGAAGGCGGGCTCCTTTTTCCCATAACTCATGAAGGCGGGCTCCTGGACCCCCCTTCCGACCCCTCGTTGAAGAGGTCTTGCCAAGACCTATCCAAAACTTAAGTAAAAATTTTCAGTCGGTCGACCCCCTTTTTTCAAGATCCTGATGTGACTAATAGACGAAGTCGGGCTCCTGGACCCCCTTTCCGACCCCTCATTGAAAAGGTCTTGCTGAGACCATGAGACTATAACTGTAGTGGACTGGAAACCATAGGGCCAAAAACGCTGCACGCGGATCTTTTCAACGATACTCCTCCGCACCTACTGCTGCTATCGCGTCGATTTTGGTCTCTATCTGCTCGGAAAGGTTCACAGATGGGCTAGATGACCTCACATTCGCCGGAAATGACCCCAGCTTCGTCTCTATCCCCCGTCATTTCGATACTCCGCGTTGCCGAGGACCGCCGGGCGTTTTAGTTCGCTGCGCCGCCGCGGGAGCGCGCTGGTGGCGGCCCCCCGCCGCCTCCCCGCCTGCCCCTCCACCTCACACCGCTGCCGCGCTTGCGATGTAAACAACAATCATTTTCACTATTGTACTGGGTTTACTGGGTTTTATTAATCATGCCTATCATCAAGGCACGGTCAAAGAGGTTCAAAAGAAGCAAGGACCATGACCGGAACGAAGAAATTAAAGCTGCCAAGCGGCGGAAATTGGAAGAGTCTATGTCTGTAAGGATCCGAAACGTTGTCTTAACCTATGCAGTTCTAATTACACTCATTAACGTTTTGGGTAACGATGTGATGTAATCATTTATTGCAGAAGTCCGGTTCGGTTCCTGTTCTACCTGCTGATTCGCCTGATCCCAATTTTGCCGTTCCTTTAAGTTCCCCTGGTCCAAGTTCAATACCTTCCGTTCTTTCTCCTGGAGGTAGTTCTACTTCTGAATCTTTTTTGTTTGAGTCTGTAAGTAAACATATAACTCATAGAGTTAGTTTGGAAAATTATTGCAAGAAAAAGTATTATTCTCTCTTTTTTTTTCTTTCAGGATGAATTACTTTCTTGAGGAACTGAGGACAGTTTACTGAGCACCCCCTTACCAAGTCCATGTCCAAGTCCGTCTCCATCACTGGATTCTACTACATCAGTTGCTAATTCGGACACTAGGATGCAATTCTCAGACACTGATGAAAGCTCAAACATGTCAGTTTCTGAAGACAGGATCCCAGTTTCAGACCATGTCCCAACACCAATCACAGTAAGTCTTGTCGTGTTTATTATTCTTACTTGTTTTTTAGCGTAAAAATTTTAATTTTATTTTTATTTGGTCTTTTTAGAGTGAAGTACTAGATCCAGCTATAATCCAGGAACTTAAAACTAAATTGGATCTGTTCCTCTATGAAAATTGCATCAGCATTCCGGGTCAAAAGGAACTGTTAATTTTATTTTTGTCAAGATCCTCACACAAGGTTACTCAAAAGCAGCTAACCTTTAGTTATGATGGGACATTTACTCTTGAGGTACATTGTAAGCCATATTCAGTAGACAGCTTCATCAAGAAAGTGCCAAAAAGTACGGCTTTGAGTAGTGACACTGTTCCATCATTTGTTGACTGGGCTGTGCAGGTCATAAATTTAGTTAGAGAATTTGAAATCTGTGCAGGTGTGGACAGTGGTGAATATAAAGAAGTGTGGCCTTTGTGTTCTAATAGTGGTGTGATTGACTTGAATCCTTACAAGGAGTGTCGTTATTCAGAAACATTCAGGTCCAAGAAGTGTGAGACTTTAGTGAGCCGCCGAAAAAGAAGATATGGTGAATGTTCTAAAATGGTTGGAATACTTGGTCGCAAATTGACTATGGTGAAAAAAGAAGTGATCCATCCAAACACGCCAAATATTTTCCTGAGTGAACCTCAAAAGCTGCAAAAACTGGAGGAGCAACGCAAGGAAATCCACAATGCCAAGCGTACAATTGAGAGAATGAAAATCAGAAAATTAATAGAAAAGGAAGGTGTTCATATTGACAATACTGTCTCAAGTGACCTCCAATCTATCTGAGAAAAATTGGATGTTGACAAACTTGTTGAAGAGGGACAATTAACACCGCAGCAGGCTTTGTTTATTGAGCAGCAACTTGGCGCTCTGTCAGCTAGATCACCAAGAGCGAGGAGATGGCATCCCACTATGATAAGATTTGCGCTGAGCATTTATCATAAATCTCCAGCTGCGTATGGTGCAATCTATGAAAGTGGGATGATTACTCTACCCTGTCGCCGAACTCTCTTTGACTACACCCACTTCAAACCAGTAAAGGATGGAATCCATTATGAAGTGTTAGAGTCCGTTGCCAAGAAACTGGAAGGTATGGAGCTTTATCAGCGTTACCATGTCATCATGGCGGATGAAATATATATAAGTAAGAACCTTGTCTATGAAAGCGCAACCGGCAGATTAATTGGATATGCATCAATGGGTGATGTTCAGACAGAATTTAGTGCCTTAGAAGCTTTCCTGAAAGACCCAGAGGCTGCACCAGCTCGCCCACCCATTGCTTCCAAACTTTTGACATTTCTTATCAAAGGCGTGAGTTCAAATGTGAAAGAAGTAATTGCCACTTACGGAGTTGATACTCTAACAAAAGAGCAGCTGTATCGCTGGTCTTGGGACGTTATTGGAAAGTGTGAAAGGGCAGGTGTGGCTATCATTGCATACACCAGTGATGGTAGCTCAGTGAACCGAGCTTTCATAAAAATGAACAAGCCTTATTCTATGGACTCTGATATTATTTATGACACAATAAATAAGTGTGCACCAAGATCTGTCATTAACAAGGGGAAAAACAATGTTAGAATTTTGTATTTTATAGCTGATCCCCCTCATCTTATCAAAACTATAAGAAACTGTTTTGCCACATCCAGCAACAAACGTTACTTAAACAAAAGAACTGGAAAAATGATGCTCAGAAGGAGACTTGCCAAAAATGGTCAGAAGATTTTGTGGGCTTCAATAGTCAGGCTTTACCACCATCAAAAGGACAAAACATTGAGGCTTGCATACAAACTTAATGCACAAAATGTGTTTTTGAATGGATATTCAAAAATGAAGGTCAAGTATGCAGCAGAAGTGTTAAGTGCAACTGTAGCTCAGCTTTTAGAAAACTTGAAATGGGAAAACATGGAAGAAACGATTATTTTCATAAGAAAGGTGAATGGATTTTTTGACATGTTGAATGGAGCTCACTCAAAACAAGGAAAGAGAAAAAGAAATCCTAATTTGGCCCCATACTGTTCTAAAGAGGACCCAAGATTTGACAAGTTAGACGAGTTTCTTCTTTACCTGCAAGAGTGGAAAGAAGATGCTGAAGCTGCTGCGAATGCAAACAAAACGATGGATGAAAGTGCTCAAGCTGATGACCTCAATGATGTTGTAGAACATGATCAGTGGGAAGACATGGAAAATGAAGAAGAACAAGATCCTGCAAGTATGCGACAACTAAGCTATCAAACTCTGGAGGGTATAAAAATCGCAGTTCATGGTTTCAAAGGTGCAGTCAAATTTTTGCTGGATGAAGGAGTTAAGTTCATCAATGCGAGGGTTTTTTGTCAGGACCCTCTTGAACAATACTATAGCAAGTTGCGTTCTAGAGGCGGTGGCAGTACCAACCCCAACATGAGCCAAGCTCTACACAGCCAACGATCCATCCATGTACAAGGTACTCTGGGAGTGAAGAAAAACTACAGAGGAAATACAGAAGTTAACACTCAGTGTATGACTATCTCCAATGAACCATTGCCTAAAAGAAGAAAGTTGTCAAGCAAACAGAGTGCTTTGCCTTCATGATGTGTTTTCCAGTAAAGCCTGTAACTTGTATCGCATTGTGGGCTCTGAATAAATTGTTAGCATTTGTATGTTTATTTATCAGTCTTTAATTATACCATAAACATAAGTCAAAGAACAGGAACAATGTTCAAACAAAACCAATTGTGTATAAAGCTCGAGAGAATAAATAGTCAAAAACTTAAAAATGTAAGTACTAAGAAACAATCAATAAATTCTTAGAAGTATTATTTGGTCTATTTAGACTAGACAATTATCCTCTCTCAATGATAAGAACACTACTTTTTTGGGGCAACTTTATGGCGCAAAGTAATTGACACAACAGCACCATTTGGGTTTGTAGTATTTAGAATTCTTTTAATTTCACCTTTTGCATAAGTACCTAATAGTTTCTTGGTAACGCCAATCATTAATGTTAAAGATAAATCTTCATTAAGAGAGTTACCAATTGCATTATCCCATTCAAATTTTGGGTCAGATACAACAACTTTATTCAGAATTTCTGGAATGGGAACACTACCATCAGGTTGCTTCTCCTCAACCATAATTTTCAGTACTGACAAAAGGAAAGATTGGACTGGTGCTTTCACAAAGTTGAGTCCCCCCCTATTCTTTTGCTCAGTCCACAATCTATCTTCTTTGTGTTGTTCAGATTCCTTGTCATTTTCTAGTGCTTCATAGAAGTCATCTTCTAAAATTTTGTTATCAATCACTTCCACAATTTTCTTCCATTTAAGGCTTGCTGAATACCTGGCACCAAACATTCTGTAGCCATGAAATATTGAGCCACCAACAAAAAAGACACATTGACGAGTTTCACTGTCAAAGTCCACAGCGGATTCTCTTCGAGGGTTTCCATCAGCATTTCTTAGGCAACGAAAAATAAAAATGACTAACTGGTCAGCAAATGTAAAAACAAACTCACATAAAAACATATCACATACATTCTCATCACAGTTTGCAATGGCACTTAATTTCAATAACAGATACTCTCTATCAGAAACTGTTGATAAAATATTGTCAACAACAGAAAGTTCAGTGAGCAGCAAGGCTGATGGCATACAAAACTTTTCAGCTGAGAGTAACACACAGAACCGTTTAACCAGAAAAGCTACAAACTCTTTCCACTCTTGCAAGTCAAGATGCATTTTGACGGCAGAGACAAGTTCTTGAAATTCTGCTCCAATCTTCCCGTAAACAACTGGTTTGTCCAATAATACATCAATAGATTTGGCAGCAATCTCTTGGCATTTAGTCTCTATGGAGTGGACATCAGGAACTCTGCTAGCAAGTTCTGAAACAATGAATTGGTGCATTAACATACAGTTTGTTTATTTGAGGTAAATTTTGCATGTCCTCAAAATACTAACCTTTTAATTGGTGACCTTGAAGGTGGCGATTGTAATACCGCAAAGTGCGATATTCCGCTCCACATTTTGAACACTTAGCGAGGACTGGGCCCTTCGGTTTTGGAACAGAAGCAGGCTTCTTGAATGGACCAGGAGCAGGTTTGCGAGATCACCTGTCACCTTTTGTTTCTTAGGTGTCGACGCAACAGCATCTTCGTCGATAGAATCGTTAAGGTTACTTAGCGAAATATCAAGACTGATGTCGCCCTCCTGCTCAGAATCCATTCTGCAAAACAAATCAGTAAACCATTATTTCCGAACTAGGCGAAAGCCATAACCCTCAAACAGTGGTCCCTTCAATTCGCCGCGGGACGTGCAGTTTATGAGTAACAGTTAAAGGACGGGTGTTACAGAACTGAAAAGATTACTAGGTTTCTGATCAATCTTACCTTGAATGCTGGCAATCAAAATTTGCGGCCCTATCACGCTTGAAAGTAGCAGTTTAGCTCGTTGTTTACATCGCAAGCGCGGCAGCGGTGTGAGGTGGAGGGGCAGGCGGGGAGGCGGCGGGGGGCCGCCACCAGCGCGCTCCCGCGGCGGCGCAGCGAACTAAAACGCCCGGCGGTCCTCGGCAACGCGGAGTATCGAAATGACGGGGGATAGAGACGAAGCTGGGGTCATTTCCGGCGAATGTGAGGTCATCTAGCCCATCTGTGAACCTTTCCGAGCAGATAGAGACCAAAATCGACGCGATAGCAGCAGTAGGTGCGGAGGAGTATCGTTGAAAAGATCCGCGTGCAGCGTTTTTGGCCCTATGGTTTCCAGTCCACTACAGTTATAGTCTCATGCTGAGACCAATCGAAATCTGCAATAATTTTTTTTAGTCGGTCGACCCCCTTTTTTGAAGATCCTGATCTGGCCAACTTTTAAAAGCGGCCGATGGGGTCGGGACCAGGTCCATTCATCTTGTCTCGTCGCCCCGATTCCAAAAATACCCCTATGTGCCCTGCTAGCACCAATAATGGCGGAAATCCCCCTCCCGCTCATGTAAACCATGATGCACCTGCAGCAGCCCTTGTGCGACCCGGACGGGATTTGCACCACCGGATTATTTGTTTGGACGGTACTCCTGAAGTACCCTTCAAATCTGGTTACTCTAGCTCAACTCCTTCCTTGTACACAGACGCCAACAACAACAACAACAACACACAGACACAAAGGCAAATGCATAGGCCCTCCCCCTATTTTTTGAATAGAAGGGCGGGCCAAAAAGCAAAATTTCCGGGAAATACAAAAAATAATCTAAAATAGTTTGTTTTGCGCTACGGTCCTCTTTACTCCGAGAGCCCAAGAAAACCAAACGAAATAACTCGGAGGCTTGCTCCTTGGGCTTGTCGTAATTGGACCTAAACTCTTCAAACGATACTTTGAACTTAATTTTGGTCAAATAATTCATGATGGATCAGCAAAACCCCTTTTTCGGCTTCTTGAGTTTGTTTTTGGGACGGTGTAGAAATGGGCTTGCTTTGAAGATATAACAGTAGCTTTAACTAAAAAATGGACACGTCAATAATACTTTTTTTATTCAATATAGAGGCAAAAACAGTAGTGCATACAAGTAACATCATTAAACGTGCAACAGAGTCAAATTGAGAGAAAACTTATGAATCGTTGACCAGAATCAATCAATCCATGCCATCTTCCAAAGATCAACGAAAGCGTGCTTAAAACAAACGAGTCATATTTCAGAGACGGAAAGTCAAATTCACATATTGTCATGTATTCGAATAGGAAATAAAATCATTTTCAAATGAGAGCCTAAGACTTCCAGAGCCCAGTCCTATTGTTTTAAATGACTTCCCACTTAACATCTAACAATGAGAAAAAACCTATAAGCTTGTAAATGACAAAAGATTGAGACACGGATAGTTTTCCTAACATTTAACAAATTCGGACTAAATGTCTTAGTTATGCGCCTCGCGAACAGTCTCAACCGGTACACTTAGGCCTGCCGCTAAGTAATCGTCTTCCGGAAAAATACAGCCTGCCGGTTTTCCTCAACGAGAGTGCGCAGTTGAGACTGCTGCCATCTTGACTTAACTTCCATTAGCCAACTGGATGTTCAAATCGTGTCCTTCAGTGTGGGTTCGCAGGTGCGTTTTCAGATGAGAAATTTGCCGGAACCTCTTGCTGCAAACCGCGCACTCAAAGCGCTTGTCTTCTGTGTGGGCCCGGAGATGCTTTCTGAGGCTACCACCTTGGCTGAACTTCTCGTTGCAAACCGTGCACTCAAAAGGCTTGTCTCCTGTGTGGGTCCGGAGATGCACTCTGAGATTGCCGCCATGGAGGAACCTCGTATTGCAGACCGTACACTCAAAGGGCTTGTCCCCTGTGTGGGTCCGGAGATGCACTCTGAGATTGCCACCATGGAGGAACCTCTTATTGCAGACCGTGCACTCAAAGGGCTTGTCTCCTGTGTGGGTCCGGAGATGCACTCTGAGCTTGCCACTTTCGATGAACTTTTTGTTGCAAACCGTGCACTCAAAGGGCTTGTATCCTGTGTGGGTCCGGAGATGCTTTCTGAGGTCGCCACCTTCGCTGAACCTCTTGTTGCAGACCGTGCACTCAAAGGGCTTGTCCCCAGTGTGGGTCCGGAGATGCACTCTGAGGCTGGCACTTTCGGTGAACTTCTTGTTGCAAACCTTACACTCGAAGGGCTTCTCTCCTGTGTGGATTCGGAGGTGCGGTTTGAGCTGGCTACGTTGGCTGAACTTCTTGTTGCAAACCGTGCACTCAAAAGGCTTCTCCCCCGTGTGGGTCCGCAGGTGCACAGTCAGACTGGACGCCCACTTATTCTTCTTGCCGCACACTGGACAGTCGTGACCCATTTTGAGTTTGGGAATGAGGAATCCCTGAAATACGGAAATAATTGGTCACTACTTGCAAAGAAAATGTAGAGCAATTCTATCCCAAGGCAACCAGGCCCAAAACCTTCATGTCTCAGATCCTGCTCCCGATGGTTTTTTAAGATGCCCTAGTAGTAGAGAGTCTCAAAAAAAAATTCAGATTTTTATGTCTGATAGAAGCCGAGATTTTGGGCTTTTATGTTTCAAACCTAGGAAAAATTCCACATTTTTAATTTTTCATCAAAACTTTCCCGTCTAAACTTTTGTGAAAAGAGCATGAAAAGTTGAGTCCTTTCCATGCCAGAACGGAATTTTCAAACAATTTTCAGAAGTTATGACAAAGTTTTAAAATTTTAAAAAAGTGGATTAATTTGTGAAAATTTAATACGTATATTTTTTTTTTACTTCTCTGAGCCTTAAACGGTGTATTTTTATAGTCCCTAACTCTGGGAAAAATAAAACCTTTACGGATGAAACTCATTCTAAATACCGCAGCCCAAAACCTATTTTCAGTCTTCGCTTTTTGACTAAAGTGTACCCCCAGGCACTGCAGGATGGTTCAATGAGTCAAACTAAATCATCCTTGTATGTTTTTACTCACTTAACATCAAAGCTGAAGTATTTTAAGTACTCTGTTCAACAGATATATCTGTAGATTGCTTATTTGCACTACACTGATAAAAATTTTGTCGTAACTTAGCGACACATTTATCGCTAACTTTCTTAGCGACAAGATTTGTTGTGGAACAAATAGCTTGATAAACCATAGTCGTATTGGAACCAAGGGATAATTTCACAACGACTAACTTGTAATAACGCACCAACAATAACACATCAACGACAAGTATTGGAAGTCCCAAAGAAATTTTGAAATGTCTGCGACAATATTCATAGAGTACTTTTGTCGCTTAATTTATTTTGCATGTTTTTTTTTTAACAATAGTAATTTCCCTATGACTTAGAAGAACAAAATAGATGATTATTCATAATATGCTTTAATTGAGCAGATAATTGCAAAAGATGTTGTTTCCACACAAAGTGTATCGTAAAGAGTGATAACAAGAATTTTGTTCTTCAACGACAAAATGTCGCTTACTAGACTCAACGACATTTGTTTCGCTATGGTTCATGATGAAATTCTATGTTTTGGAACGACTAAATTTTCACTCATCTGATTGTTTCTGTACAACCATTTTTTAACAGTGTAGCCTTTTTTTAAAAAGTTCTTCTGCTGTGTTCTTGTTGACATTACTCTTGACTGTTTGAGTGAGTTGCAGGGTAATTTGAATGGCTGTATGTATCTTAGAAATTGAGTGATTTAGGCTATAAAATGACATTTGAGAGTGATCTACAGATATATCTGTTGAACAGAGTACTTAAAATACTTAAAATACTTAAGGGGAGGTTCTACTGAAAAAATGGCACTTTTCAAATTGAGCCCCAGTGTTGACATTTGTTGCATATGTGTAGTACTACATTGTTAATAGCCAAACATGAAATTTAGAGCCAAATACCTTCCTCCAAATCCAGTTGAAGAGGATTTTTCAGCCTATTTTAGCAATATCTTAAAAAATTCCCCTACGCGAAGTATTTCAACGTAAACTGATGTTCTGGACATTTTTCACTTCTTTGGTTCATATGCAATAAAGCGTGGCATCACCAAGACATGAGACCCATCAAATTTATTTTGGCACTGCTTATCAGAAAAAAAGAAACTAAAATATCAGGATTTTGACCATTTTCTTGAAATTTTAGTGACATGCTGTGTTGAAAACACAGCTTATGATTTTGCAATGGTCCCAGTATGTTACTAATGCCACGGTTTATCAATTATGAACCAAAAAAGTGGAAAATGCCCAGAACATCAGTTTACGTTGAAAAACTTTGCGTAGGAGAATTTTTCAAGATACGACTGGAAATAGCAGAAAATTCCTCTTCGACTGGATTTGGGGCTAGGTATTCCTTCCCAAAATTCAAATTTTACTATTTACTATAAAATACTTTATATTTACAATGAACATAAAAAGTGGGACTCAATTTGAAGAAAGTAAGATTTTCAGTAGAACCTCCCCTTAGAAGACGTTAAGAATCTAATCTGGTAAGAGAATATTGTTAAGGAGAAAAGGGTTGAAGGACCAACAAAGAAACAGCCAATGGAACTTATTGCATTATCCATATCCACCTAACAACAAGGTAGGTTTACGCCAGACCGCGTCTTGTCGTAACAGGCTTCGCGATGTCTCGCGGCCTGTTCCTCCAATCCGCGCCTGGCGTACCTCCCTTTGGGCCCTGCGGCGCTAGCCTGCCTTCGGCAGGCATTGGCTTGTCCATCGTCGGTTACTTCTTACGTGTTGCATGCTGCGGGGCTCCGCCCCCCAGACCCCCCTTAATTCTAGAAAGAGTTGCTTAATCTACAGATAACACGATCTTGACCCTTGTAACTTTTTAACTTGTCGAGGCTGGGGGGGTCCGCCCCCCCCGACCCCCTTTCTTCAAGACAGAGGTGATCTACCTGCAAAAAAAAACTCGATTTTTCGCCGTTTTTTTGGTGTTTTTCGGCTATAAAAACTGAACCGGTTGAGCTAGGACAGTGAAATTTCGCGTGTGTCGAGCCAAGAACATACCTAATAAGCCTGCAAAATCTCAGCCAGATCGGCCGAGCCGTTCAGGAGGTAGTGTACACACACAAACACACACACACACGGACACACAGACAGACAGACAGACAAAACTTTTCAACCGCACTGGAGTAACGGGCTTCGCTATCGCTCAGCCAACAACTAAACTGGTAAAATCGGGGAAGTTTCTTTTTTTTCTGGCCTCAGTAGAATATGACAAAAGTCATTATTTGAAGAAAAGTATCGTTTTTTAATTTTACGACAAAATGTGTAAAATCAATAAGACTTTTTGGTTGTCAAAATATGACACTTCCCTTCACCTTCTTCTGCAATGGTTTTACTTCGATTTCCCTGACAGATTTGAACCCACAACTTTACTCTTTCGGTGCACGGCTCTACCACTGAGCTACCCAAAACACACGCTAGCTGGGGAGCCAGCTACCTAATGACTCTTCAAGTGAAGCTTTACTGTTCTTCAAACAAGTAAACGTTAGCAACTTAGTTCATCCAATTTCTTTTCATAAATTTACAACAAGGGTCATAAAATGTGACAACAATAAATTTAATCCAAATTTTTTGAAGTAAAGTATTGTAGTTGGAGTTTTACGATAAAGTTTACCCAAAAAACTGTATCCTGAATTTACAACCAGTGATGTATTTTGGAGCCTTACAATAAAGTTCATCCAAAAATATATCTTGAACGAACATCCCGTGTAATACTTCATCCAGATTTTGTTCATAAATTTACAAAAATCGTTGTGTTTTGCTTTTTAAACAATTAGTTCATCCAGATTTCTTTCATAAATTTACAACAATCGTTGTGTTTTGCGTTTTAAAAATAGTTCATCCAGATTTTGTTCAAAAATTTTACAAAAATCGTTGTTTTTTGCGTTTCACGCATATTTCCTCCAGATTTTGTTCATAAATTTACAACAATCGTTGGTTTTGCGTTTTACAAATAGTTCACCCAAAATTTTTTTTCATAAAATTACAACGATTGTTGTGTTTTGCGTTTTACAAATAGTTCATCCAGTTTTTGTTCATAAATTTACAAAAATGGGTTGGTTTTGCGTTTTACAAATAGTTCATCCACTTTTTTTTTCTTTAAAATTTAAAAAACGATTGTTGTTTTTTGCGTTTTACAAATGTTCATCCAGTTTTTTTTCATAAATTTACAAAAATTGTCGGTTTTGCGTTTTACAAAGTGTTCATAAAAATTTTTTCTCATCATTTCACAAGAATTTCTTAGAGTGTGCCAGTTACAACAATCCACACCTGGCGTTTACTCCTACCTTGGCCTGCGGCAAGCCGTCCCAGGATTTTGTGTTGAAGCAATGAGAAGAGTACTCCGTGATGGAAAGGGTCCAAAATGGGTTCATGGTCAAAATACCCATATTTGTCCTGCAGCTACAACTCACAGCAACCGAGGCCCCGCAGAAGCGCAAAAACGAGTCCATGTCACCGATTGCCAGAACTCTTTAAAGTCGGGCTCCTAGACCCCATTCCGACCCCACACACTTTAAAATGCATGCCTCCATGCACACTGATTGGAAGTGTGTGTCTGGCACACGGTTTCTATCTGAGCGTCCAGGACCCATAGAGTATCGTCAGGCACGCTGTTCTAACCATCGCGAAGCCTGTTACAAGCCAAGGGGCTGGCGTACAACTATACTCTGACCAGAAAACGAAGAGCCCCGAATTCTCGCGGTTTATGGCATCGCATCTGCCGCCTTGGCTAGCATTGCAGGTAGCCCTCGACCGCGAGAACCCAGGGCTCTTCGTTTTCTGGTCAGAGCATATCTTGCGACCATTTCACAGCTGTTTTCTTACCTAACTTCAGGTAGCGCGTGGCGGCTCCTTCACTGAAGTAGACCAACAAGTCGCGGTTAGTACCTTGCCCGCAAGGAGCCCGTCTGTGCTGCGTCTGTGGAGCGAGTCGCTGCGAGTGCGAGTGGCCGATTTGTGGCCAGCAGGGTTGCCAGATGCCGAGTACGCCAAGTCGCCACCAGAGCGCGCTCAAGTCGCCAAAAGTCGCCACGGCCTCAAGTCGCCAAAAGTCGCCACCGAGGCGCTCGTGTCGCCATCCAAGTCGCCAATCAGGATCAAGGAACCCACAAAAGCGCGAAAATTCAAACTACCACTGACGCAAGTCGCCAAAATTCGCCACTAGGGCGCTTGTGTCGCCATCCAGGTCTCCAGTTAAATAAAATAAAGTCATTTGGTTCAGCTCTTTATTCAAAAACAATGTCTTCCTCCGCCGGGAAAAGTTTAGTCAAGCGGCGATTTCTGTTTAACACCGAGCGCCGACCCGTGCTACTTACAGGCCGTTTGGGGACAGGTTGAAAATACTGCTTCAAGGTTGGCGGCGGACGCTTTTTCTCCTTGTCCCCCATCTGGCCTGCCCCGTGGTTTGCCCCGCCGCCGGGCTGCTGGAGGGTCCAATCCCTGGAAGCGCTGGCCGGCTCGGGTCGGGTCGACGGGCGCGGCTCCCCTCGCGTTGCCAAGCGACCGGGCTGTTGGAAATACCCCGCGCGGCGCCGCGCGGAAAGGCTCCGCAAGAGTGCCAACCCACGAGACGGAAATCGCCCCAAAACGACGTTTTCTCGCCAAAAACGAGCAAATCGCCAAAAAATCGCCAAATTTTTTTTCAAGTGGCCAACCAAGTCGCCATCAACTTCAAGTCGCCAAATTAGTCGCCCAGACCTCATCAAGTCGCCAAAATGGCGCCAAGTCGCCACATCTGGCAACCCTGGTGGCCAGTGGCCACGGTGGCGACAAGTTGCCACCGATCGCCACCGGAGCGCTTAGGTCGCCACTGTGGCGCCACCGTCGCCACCCGTTTTGACCCGTAATCCCCTATCCGCCGGCCGAGCGGCGAGCGCGCCGAGCCAAATCGCCACTGGTCGCCACAGATTCCGCGAAGTCGCCGCTCCAGCGCCACTAGGGGGCTCAAACGCCACTCGGGTCGCTACTGAAACTCGCCGCCACTCGATCTGTCCGCCACTTATGGCTACGCTGGTCGCTTCCCCGCCGTCCTGATCCTGGACTAGTCCTGGAGGATCCCGACAGAGGGTATAAGCAGCCCAGGCGGCGCGTTTAGCGACGCTCAGCAAGCAGGTCTTTGAAAAGCGTCATCGCGCGTGTTTGATGGCGGATGTGCATGTACCGTGAAACGGGGTAATTTCGGACACTCGGTGTAATTTCGGACAACTCTGCCCGGAAGCATGGCGATGATGCTCCCATCTAACGGCCAACTTGGAGGCTTGTCCCGTTGCGCGCATCGCATCGGCCACACTTAAAACCATCGGATCAATCACCCGGAGGCCAAATCAGGCGCAAACTCCAGGAGAAATAGTGGTTTTTGTATTTAACCATTTTTACCTCAATTCGCTTTATGCGTAAAAACTTTGACTGGCAAGCCGAAACTGTTCATGGCTGGTTCATGAGGGGATTGTTTGTCGATTCAATCATGTTAAGAGCATACTGTGTCAAATTTTCAATCACCTGGGTCAAATAGTATGGTTTATATGGGCTTAAAACTAAAAAAATGCTACTTTACGGGGTAATTTCGGACATACAAACGTCACGCCAGGGAGAGTGGGTATGTCCTGAACACTTCCAATTTCGCAGGGTTTGAGTGGTGGAAGCTGAAGAGCTCTTCTGAAAGTTGAAGATAATCCAATAACAACGATAATCCTCAATTGTTACAGCGGTTTCTTTGTAAACTTCGAATTTCATGAAAATGGGGCAAAGCTACATCTTTAATACTTAGTTTTTTTTATGTGCGTGTTCTACCTTAGTGTCAACGACTGTTTTGTGATTAATTTTCTTTCATGTGACATGAGAGTTGGACTTGGCGAATGGCTGCATAGCTCGCCGGTTTACTATGCAACGCTTTCCACTGAGCCCCTGTATCTTCCTAACCGTACATACGACACGACTACTTGCCTTTCATATGCATGTATGTGATCGTATGTAATCTTGCAGAGGCAGATTTAAGATTCACTTTCGCGTAATAAAGTATGGCCCGAGTTGCCTGTGAAAGCTAATCGGTCAAAAACTAACAAATAGAAGCGTTCTAAATGGCTCTACTAGTTCCACCCACTATTTCTGAAATTGAACTACATATGTATGAGTGCAATACATGACTTAAAATTATGTATAAATGACCACCCCTACCTTACTTTTACATCTAAACCCTTACGAATTTCTCACATAATCATATTAGCACTTTAGAAAGAGACAGTGATCGATTTTGGGACCAAAATCAGAACGAAAAGTCGTTTTTTCCAAGGGTGTCCGAAATTACCCCAAAACACGGGGTAATTTCGGACACTGCTTCGGACCCTCCACTGTAAAAACGGTGTGGTGCAAATATTTGAAATAAGCGCCAAATCGAAGCTAAAGGTGCGTAGATGATAAATTTTAACCCTCAAGTCCATGACAGCACCACAACTTTCACAATTTCAAAAAAAAAACACTCAAAAGTGTCCGAAGTTACCCCGTTTCACGGTATGAACAAATTTCAAAGTATTATTGTTGCGTAAAAAATGCTACTTAGGAAATGTTGCTGCTGTTATGAGCAAAAAGTCAATATGGCTCTGAGAGTGTACGCTTTTAGTTTTACCATTGTACCCAACTCACCACCGTTTAGCTCGGCTGCGACTTTTGTTCCTCTCGTTGGCTCGCTCACTTCCGGGTCAGATCTTCACTGAAGTACCCGCACGTTAAAAAAAAGGGAGGGGGGGATCATGTCCGCGGAATGTTGGTGGAACACTGGTAAAACTAAAGCGTAGTATTACCCACTGTTTTCAAGCGCAATCTGGTTACGCTTGAAATCAAGCGTAACAGGCTCATCTGCCAACATTCCCCCTATCTAAATGCATGGGGGAATTTCTAGCCTATGCTTGATTTCAAGCGTAACGTCTTCAAGCGTAACTTTATGCTTGACTCAAGCATAGAGTTACGCTTTAGTTTTACCAGTGAACAGGCGAACGAGTCAGAGCCAGCGTAACGTGTCGCTCAACGTCTAGCATGAGGGACATTTCTAAAGAATAGGCAGTTAACTTGGGCCCGTATCGCGTTCAATTAGAACTTTGCCGTAACGCAACGCTGTGGGAAGGGTTTGGGGTCTGAGCGGGCAACGCTGAGACATGTCGAGGGGTCCTATTCAAAAGATCTTATCTGAACGCTCCTATTCAAAGAATCTTATCTGCAAAGCAAGCGAATTTCACCAAGTTTGATCATTGGAGGCAGCTACAAATCTAAATAATTTGGGATTGTAGTTATACAAACTTGAAGATGAAAGATCGAAGAAATTTGCGTGCAGAAATATATTCCGCTTACCCTCTTCTTCGTCCTAAATGGTCAAACTTAGTGGGGCCGTCGATTTGTGGCGTAGGGGTCCTCAAATGCCCTAAAGTGCGTAAAGATCCTGGACCGCAAGTTAACAGTCGCCAGCTAAAGTACACCATAACATAGGTGAAACGAATGTGCCGGTTAGAATAGAACATGAATCTCGTTCTTAACTTATTTGCAATGATTGTGTTTCTAGATCTCAATTTGTACCGCTTGATTCCAATTTGAAATGTCGAGCGATGTTAGGTTCCTGCCAATACGGCGTCTTTTGACTTCCGTTCCACACGCTCAGACCAATATGGACTTTTTTCTCTCTTGCTTATAGCGGTTTTTGAGCAAACGTAAAATGTACTATTTTCTCCTTAACTATGGACAATTTTGATCGTTTCAGGGATATAATTGTCAATAGGTCATGTAGAAATTGAAAAGTACATTCCAAATGACATTAAGTCTGGTTTAATGGACTATAAACATTATACAATGAACAAAATAGTGCATAGCCAAAGAGAATATAGTACGTATTACGTTTGCTCAAAAAGCTTTATGGCAACAGATAAAAAGTCAATGTACACTATTTTTACTAGACAGCCCCTTACAAGCGAGGAACGTTTTCTTTTCTTCTACAAAAGGACTACCGACGCAACTTACGACTCAACCCCTATCACAGTTTTACATCTCTCTTTCGTCTCATTGTCTTTCGTTTCCTCTTGCAGCAGAATGCCTCCTAAGAAGAGGACGCAGTCAAACCGTGGAAGTGACGCCAGTAAGAGGATCAAGCAGGAAAGCAGTCCGCCTGAGCGACGAGAAGGACCCACTACCGACAGGTAAGGTTGCTAAGGCTTCTGTTTCGTCTCATGCTTTCTTGCCTTCGGCAAAACACTGAAAATCTACCGGCGTGACTTCGTGCCGCTGCAGGGGCGTGAAATCGGCGTGACTCAAAAATTCACGCCAATTTTTTGTGTGAATTTCTTGTCATGCCGCATTTTGGCATGACTTTTCTCATAAAGCGCGTTGTCATTCAAGCCAAATTAGGGCGTGACTCACATGTCACGCCGTTTGCCGGCGTGAATTTCGTGTCACGCTGATTTTTGGCGTGACTTTTTGTCACGCCTTAATTTGGCCATGTGTCCGACCATTAGGCTACGTTTTCAGTGAATGGAAAGAACTTGACTTAATCTGAACCACATATTCTCGCAACTTGATAGTCGGTTCGAATGTTGTGGGTTGAGCTATCCTTCCAAATTTTAACCCCTTTAGCTCCTGTGCGCAACGTAGCGCATGTTTGATTTCGTACGTTGCGTATACACTGTAAAAATAATGTTGTGAATTTACGACGGAATATTTTCCGAACGTTTTTGGGAATGTCCAAAAGTGCACTGTAAATGTTCCTTTCCTACAGGAACTTTAGTAAATCAACGGAAGTTCGTCGTCAATTTACGAAGGTTCTTGGTAAATTTACGAAGAAAAATCGTAAATGTACGAAGTCTGTTGTAAATTTACGAAGGGCTTCGTAAATTTACGACGGGCTTCGTAAATCTACGACGGGTCTTCGTAAATCTACGGCGGACCTTCGTAAATAAACGAAGGAACTGTTGGCAATTTTTTTGCCGAAGGATCCGTCGTTAATTCCAGACGTATAATTGCGAAGAATCTCTGTATATAAACGAAGGTTCTTCGTTTATTAACGAAGGTTCCCTGTAAACTTACGAAGGATCTTTGTAGCTTTACGAAGGTGCTTCGTAAATTTTCATTGTGATTGTAAAATCGACCGAGATCGTTCAAAAAATAAACGAAGGTTTTTGTAAAAATACGAAGACTTTCGTAAATTAACGAAGGAACCGTTGGCAATTTTTTGCCGAAGGATCCGTCGTTTATTCCGGACATAAATTTTTACAGTGTACACTGCATATTGCAAAGGCGATACTAAAGTACATTTTTTGGCGTTACAATTGAGTATCGCCAATAAACGGCCTAATGGAAAAGTTTTGCCTTCGGAACGGAGATACACAAAGGTATCGCCAAAATACTTTTCATAAACCCATTTCTGGGTTGGACCCATAAGAATGGGTTGGACCCAATGGAATGGGTGCATGAAAAGTGTTTTGTCTGCTATGGGATTTTAGTGCACCTCACTAACCAGGACTGAAACTGCAGTCGTTTGTACATCGTTGTGGTCCACGAGTGCTTCGCGCCGCGCGGATGCTCTTCGTCTTTTTACTGTATTTATCTTTTTTCTTCGTGATACAGCTTACTCATGTACGTTGGTGTTTGGCACACTTTGCAGAATGTCGTTTGAGTCAGAGGTTGGGACAGTGAAAGTGGAGCCGTCTGGACCCGAGACTGACAATCTAAGCAGCAGTACTCTCAACTCAAAGTAAGTAGAATTGGTGCACTGTTGAGATGAAAGACATCACTGTAAATCCAAAGGCAACACTGAACCTTTTTTGGCGATACAATTGAGTATCGCCAATAAACGGCCTTACGGAAAAGTTTTGCCTTCAAAACGGCGATACACAAAAGTATCGCCAGTATTGCCACGATTTGGCAATAAACGTCGAACAAATCAAGGAGACAAGACCTTGGTTTAACGCCGTGGTTTTGGCAATATCCAAAAGTATTGCCAAATTTTGGCGATACTTTTTTGTATCGCCGTTCTGAAGGCAATACTTTTCCGTAAGGCCGTTCAATGGCGATACTCAATTGTATCGCCAAAAAATGTACTCTAGTACACTCTAAATGTCTTACGAAGAAATTTCCCATAATACGAAGGAAATGGCGCAAGCATAATACGAAGGTGGTTTTTCTTCGTATTACGAAGGTTTTTCTTGGTATCTTACAATGAAAAAGCTAAAAAGATTCGTATCACGAATGAATATTGCTTCGTATTATGCTTGCGCCGATTTCACTGTAACATACGAATAATATAGGTCAAATTTCATTGTAAGACATTTAGAGTGTATCGCCTTTGCATTTGCAGTGTATTTAATGTCATTTATAACATTATTTTTCATTTAATGCTATCATTTTTCATAAACACTTCCACATTTATCCCATTGTCAATGTTACAAGTCAATTCTCTTCTTATACACGTAAATTTTCTCGGCCCAAGAAACGGCTCTTTTGGGTGCCCGGTGCGGTGGTTTGGCTTAGAATGACCTTTTCATGAATGGTGCGTTGCGCAGGTTCTGGTGCCAAGACTGCAGCGAGGATGCCGCGGAGGACTGCAAGGACTCGGGCCACTCCGTGTGCTCCCTCCGCCAGCTTCGCACAGAACAGGCCGCCCCTAAACTTCAGCAGCTGGACAAGGTGGCGAAGTCAGCGCGCGAGGTGGTGAAGGCCCTGCTGGACGCCAAGGGCGTGCTGGAGGCCCAGCTAGAGCAGTGGCGGGGCAGGCTGCGGCACGTCGAGGAGGCCAAGAAGGAGCTGTGGGAGGCGGCCATGGATTGCCGGGACCTGGAGGAACCTGCACTGGAGGAGGGCCTGGAACAGCTGCTGCAAGATGCCACCACTCTCCTCCAGGCCAAGTGTCAGCTGCAGGTGCAGGTGGACTCGCCCTGCTCCACCTGGAAGGGGCAACTGCAGGTGGCGGCTCCAGGCTCCAGAGGCAGTTTGCTTTGCCCACTGGTGCTGCAGATGCACCAGGACTGGAGCCTCACCAAGGTGCGTTCTGGAACCCTTCCCACAGTTTTAAAGGGAGAATTCGGCAGCTAGCTTCGAGTGCCACAAAATTTATATGGGTTGTTTCACATGATAAAAGCACACTTAATGTCTTACGAAGAAATTTCCCATAATACGAAGGAAATGGCGCAAGCATAATACGAAAGGTGGTTTTACTTCGTATTACGAAGGTTTTTCTTCGTATCTGACAGTCCAAAAAGCTAAAAAGATTCGTATTACGAAGGAATATTGCTTCATATGATGCTTGCGCCGAATTCACCGTAACGTACGAATAATATAGGTCAAATTTAGAGAGAGCCCACCTTTTAAATGGCAACTTTGGCCTGAAATTTTGGTGGGCGATTAAAGCTTAAGGATACTGTAAAGTGAAACTAGCAAGGCCTAGAAATATTTGCCACAGGAAGATCATCTTGTGGTCAAAACTCAACCACTATTATATGAAATAACTCCCAAGGTTGGGGGCCCCAACTCCTATTAAATTCTGAGTTATGGACGTTTATGTCAACTTTTAGTTGTTTCTCCCAAATTCTTCTCTCAACAAAGGATAAGCTACGCAGTCTTCAGATTTTGGCAATTTTATCTATTTTTGCATGGGAAAAAGGAAGCGTTAGACGCTGTCTATGTGGGAAAAACAGGGTTTTCGACAAAGGTTGTCCAAATCAAACCAAACTTCGTTTTTGGGTTCTCCTTGACCCAAAGACATGTCAAAAAAATTTTGAAATTTTTCGACAAAATTTGTCGAAGTAGGAAATTTTTTTATTTTACTCAAAAGACGCGGCAATTGTTTTTGAAAAAAAAAATTTTTTTCAAAGGTCAACTAAGGAGGAACATTTTGAGTTGTGTCCCATGTCCTGGTCTTGCTTAGTTTAATTGATACCCACCATTTTACGTTACGTGTTTTTCTCATTTTTACCTAAAAAATTAAAAAAATGCCCCTTTGCCAGTCAATTTGATTATAACTAGAGTCAAACTGAAGATATTTTATCTTTGTGAACCTCCTTCCATGCCTAACACACTATCTGGTTCCCCAAATGAACACAGTGTGTCCCAAAATAATATAACGGATCATTTAACGTTACACTTTGGAATAACGAGCACCGTGTCTATTGCTGGAGCAGTAGAGCAGCCCAACTATTTGTCACTGAACAAGATTATTATTTTTTTATCCACTTGTGAAGGATGAATCGTTTTAATCTTTAATCTTCACAAGTGGATAAAAAAAATAATCTTGTTTCAGTGACAAATAGTTGGGCTGCTCTACTGCTCCAGCAATAGACATGGTGCTCGTTATTCCAAAGTGTAATGTTAAATGATCCGTTATAGTATTTTGGGACACACTGTGTTTATTAGGGGAACCAGATAGTGTGTTAGGCATGGAAGGAGGTTCACAAAGATAAAATATCTTCAGTTTGACTCTAGTTATAATCAAATTGACTGGCAAAGGGGCATTTTTTTAATTTTTTAGGTAAAAATGAGAAAAAACACGTAACGTAAAATGGTGGGTATCAATTAAACTAAGCAAGACCAGGACATGGGACACAACTCAAAATGTTCCTCCTTAGTTGACCTTTGAAAAAAAAAATTTTTTTCAAAATCAATTGCCGCGTCTTTTGAGTTAAATAAAAAAAATTTCCTACTTCGACAAATTTTGTCGAAAAAATTTCAAAATTTTTTTGACATGTCTTTGGGTCAAGGAGAACCCAAAAACGAAGTTTGGTTTGATTTGGACAACCTTTGTCGAAAACCCTGTTTTTCCCACATAGACAGCGTCTCACCAGTTTGGTCTTGTTTTTGGTTTCTCACGAAAACTAAGGCAGATATCAGAAAAAGGGGAACGCTATCTTTTTCCAATTACAAATAGACAAAATTGCCAGAATCTGAAGACTGGGTAGCTAATCCTTTGTCGTGAGGAGAATTTGGTAGAAACGACTAAAAGTTTACGTAAAGCTCCATAACTCAGAAACTAATAGGAGTTGGGGCACTAGTCTTAGGGTATGAGTTCATTTAAGAACTTTCAGCCCTAAATTGAGACATCTGACACAAGTATTTACAAAATGTCAAATAGCCACTTTTTTCTCTGTACAATAACCTTAAAAATACTATTGCGAAGTTAGCTGAATGACTTTGTTAATTTTTATTAATACTTGAAATAGAAATCTCAAGATATGATTTCATTTCTCGCCCTCTAAATGTGTCCGCACTGCTTCTAGATCTTCCGTCCCGAAGAGTGTATGCATGTGGTGAAACTCAGCAAGCAAAAGGAGCACACCCAAGAGCTGGACGAAGCCCTGCAGAACCCAGGCCTGGACAAGGTGAGGGTGTTTTCGTTTATTGTGGCAAGGGTTATCCTTGCAGCTATGCACGGCTTACCTAAGGCTTCGCAAAAAATGAAAGCCCTGCACTCTCATCACGTTTCTGACTTTTTGGCCCGTCCCGTTTATTTTTTGTAAAAAAATGACGGAGGGACGGGCATATAGTATGATCCCTGCTGTGCGTCCGTCCGTCCGTTCGTCCGAGGACTTCCCGTGGTCCGATCTTGACCAAATTTGGTATGCAGCCTCCTTGGGTGACCCTAAGAACCGCCCGGTGGCAGCAAATCCGATCCGAGCCCCGGGGGCGCTGCTGCAGGTGCATCATGGTCTACATGGGGTCGAAGGGGATTTCGGCAACGGATAAAGCTAGCAGGACATGTAGGGGTATTTTTGGAATCAGGGCGACGAGAAAAAACCAACGGTGCCAGTTTCAAGTGAATCGGAGAAGTTTGGACCCGGGTTCAAATCCCAGTGGGGTATATTTTCAACATTCTTTTTACTCGAGTTTTTGCATTGTTTCTGATGTTTTTGAAGGTGCTGATGACGAAAATAACATAAATTTGGACCCCACACTGAGGTTCAAATCCCGTTAGGGTAAAACATTAGCGAAATTCACACATTTCTAAATGTACGGGACGGGCCAAAGTTGCCGATGTATATCGCTACTTTTCCTGTTATTTCTCATTAATTACGTAATCGAGTAAGCAACAACAATGCTTAGTATTTTCTAAGTAAGTATGATCATGACCAATTTCCTTAGTAAAATTATGTACAAAGCTAAATTGTCAGTCCATTAATTAACATTTCCTAAGAAGTTAGTTAAAAAAGGAAAAGAACGTATTATGGTTGCACGAATTACTTGCATAAGTACTGACAATATGAGCAAAAAGTCAGTCACGTGCTAAGAGTGTGCGCTATACGCAACGTACAATTTTGTGCGAGATGGATTATTTTATTTTGCGAACTTTTCGTGCGCTATTCGTTTGGAAATCTGCGTTTTCTTTTAGCGTCGTGGAAAACCATGTACAGTTTTGTACTAAAAGTTCATCTGCCCTAAAAAAATGTAACGTCTCGTACCAAATTTGGACAGAAGCATCAAGCTTGTCAACAGCGTGTGACAGGCGGTAACGCGAAGTGCGCTTGCGTGTTCCAGGTGAGGAAGCTGGACGGACTAGACTGCGGGAAGCGGCCGAACCGGAGTACAGTGCTGCTCAAGCGCGTTGCCCCGCGCGTCGAGTGGCTGTGGGTTAAGGCCAGGGACAGGTGAAAAAATGATCTCAGAAACTGCTGGTCCAAAACTTCTTATTTTCTGTCAAAATCTTACTCTTGATGATAAACTATTTCACCCAAAATCCCATCCCATAATATCAAGCGGTTCCTGAGATACAGGCTTTTTTATAATTTTTTAAGTGTTTGTTAAAAAATTCCTGTGCGTTTCCCATTTTGGGTTATTGACCTGACCGACATATTTTTTTGTTCGTCTAAGTCCAAAGAACAAACGCAAGTGACAGATTTTAGTTTCCGGCACTGATAGCAAAATACCAACTTTTCAATTTTGATATTTTTCAAAAACCAAAGATTTTCCCTTTTTTTGTAAAAACCGATATCCAAAACCATACTTCTGGGTGGAATATACAAAAACTGTCACTTGCGTTTCCTCGCAATAACCTACTGAGTCAGTGGAAAAAATATCATTGACGACACTTCAAACTGTATGCGCACAGGACCATTCAAATGTTAAAAAAATGTCTTCGGAGAAAAGGGCGTTTAAAGTTTGGTGACAGATTTTAATGGATTTTCAGCCAAAAAAATCTCCTTGCGCATACTATTTTGTCGTAAAAGGTTGACCTGGATTTTTTTCACTTCTTCGATTCATTTTAAAAGATCCCAGCATGCACAACTGAAAATGTCCATTACATTATCATTGGCAAGCTTCTAAAGCATGCATTTCACTTTAATTGATCAACAATGTACAAAATAGACAAGTTTTAGTGACTTCTTAGATGAAAAAAGCATGTGATTACTAATAAAGGGAAAATTTTGAACTAGGCATGCTGGAATCTTTTTAAAATGAATCGAAGAAGTGCAAAATGTGAAGATAAGCCTTTTACGTCAAAATAGTATGCGCAAGAGGTTGTTCAAGATATGGCTAAATAAAGCCAAAACAGCCCAAAAAAAGACAATTCGACTGGGTTCAAGACCTAGCATATGCCTTCAAAAATCAAATCTTAGTCTTTTTGAAGTATGTTTTCATATTCCCAAAAATTATGACAGTGGGGTTCTTTTTGAAAATGGCAAGATTTTCGCTAGAACCCCCCCCCCCTCCCCCCCTTTATGGCAAAACGGACAATTTTACTAAAGTGTCGTAAATGCAGGAGTGTGCGAAAAGATGTATTTTAAGCACTTCCAGGTCCCGGATAGTCGAAGTCCCGACAGATCCTGAAAGAGGAAGGTCCAAAGGACCATTTTCCACCCAGAACTCATTTTATTCAATTTCACCAAACTTCTTCATTTTTTTACCTGTCCCCGGGCCTTTAAAAACGCCGTTTTGGGAACACCTTGATGTGATCAGGGACATGCCCGCGCTGCGCTGCTTACGCGTCCATCTGACGACCTTGTCAAGAATGCCCCAGACCTGCCGCTTCAACTGCAGGAACTGAAGGCGGTGAACGTTTCAGTGGAGCACCTCCAGTCGGTGCAGCGGATGCCCAGTCTGCGTAAACTCACCTTGAACTGGCACTCCCACGGTGCGCTCGACGTGGCGTTCCCCCCTCTGCCCGCGGGTCACTGCGGCCTGCAGTGGCTCAGTGTGTACCTCAAGCCGGCCTCCACCGTCCTGTCCCTGGCCAAGGCCCACGCCGCCACACTGCAGGAGCTGCGGATCCTGTGCGCCTCCGAGGGAGACGGCCGTGGCACTTCAAGGACCTGGCCGAGGGGCTGCGCCAGTGCGGGCTGGTGGCGCTGCGGCGCGTTGTGCTGATGCGTGGACCCGCTCCACGCTACCCCGACAAGAAGCTTCCCCACGCGGCAGAGTCGTGCAAACGGCAGAAGCAGTCCATCTGGGACAAGCTGTTGGCGACGGACTCGGAGAAGCCAGTCAGGGTAGTGAAAGTCATGTGCGGGGAGTGCGAAAAGTGCCCCGTATTTCCGCCCATGGGAGACTCCACCTGGAAAGACCATTAATACGATGCTTCGTCTCAATTACAGTCTTTCTGTTTTGTACTTTATCTCGAATCATGGCATTGTTCGTGTCCGTTGATAAAACCCCACAGCCAATTGTAGTTCACGTTTGTCATGCTTGCTTCGTTCTTTGACTCCTCGTGTCCTTGCACATTACTGCCTGTATGGTATGGAACGGTGATACTCGTAACGATATTATACATAATGTAATCTAAGAACCAAGAAAATCTCTGAAAGTGGATGTAGATAAAGGATTTTCTTAGGTCCATATTATTTAAAATGGTTTTATGTCGTTGAGTATAGATTTGATTGTTTCAGACGTAATAAGACACAATTATTGGTTTGAAAAGGCGGAAAACCAGAGACTCGCTTTCGTTTGATTCGTGGCATTAACGTCTGGTTCCGTTAAAACACGAACTTGTTTTTTATCTCTGATTGTCTCTTTAATTAAGCCTGGCGTTCAGTTTGGACTGTTATTGTTTAGATGCTGATTGCAAGCACACATCTTTGTTTTCACTCACAATCATCGCTCTCGTGTGTTGCCTTACAAATCATTAAAACCTTTTGAAATTTCTGAACAGTGTGACAGTTTTTTAACGTACCTCCGAGTTGACCCACGTTTTTTTATGTCACTTTCAGATTTGATTGTGTGGCAAGTTTCTGTTATGTCAAATGCTCTTCAAGATCAAATGTGTGCTTAGTACACCTGTGGTAGTGTTCTTACACTGTCATCTCATTTTACGATACTTTTTGAACAAATTATTGCGATAAAACCGAGCTTGCGATTCCCGCAATTTATCGCACCTTGGAGTGTGAAAACTTCAGTTGTTGAAATTTTTTGAACTTACCACCCCCAAATTTTTGCGATAAAAGTGCTTTTTGTTGCTACTTACATCACATATTTATTTTGCCATAACTTTTTATTGCGTTTTCCCTCTAGGCATTAGAGGTTTAGAAGGAGTTAGAAGTGATACATTTATTTAGAATTGTAGCTAAAAAAAAAAATATTGATTGCATATTTTTAGTTCATCACTTCAAAAGAATTGTGATGAGTTTTTTGAATGACAGTGTTTGAATGACAGCGTAAAGCACACATCAACGGGGGTGTGCTTGGGCAATCATGCGTAGGTGAGTGCTTACAATATTGGGTAAGATGAATGTGTGGTTCTCCAAGCACACTTCTGTTGATGTGTGCCTTTAAGTACACTCCTACAGGTGTATAAGGGAGGGTGGGGAACCATGACCACTTTTTTTTTGTGCCTCCCCACTGTGACAAAAACCTACGGAAAATTCTGTAAGCAGCTTGTGGGAATTCTCCGTAGCCCCCTTATCAATATTCTCCGTAGGCTCTTACAGTATTTTCCGTAGGACCGCACAGTATTCTCCGTAGGACCTTACAGTGATCTCCGTAGGACTATACAGTCTTCCAGGTCCTACGGAGAAGACTGTGCGGACTTACAGAGAATACTGTACGGCCCTACGGAGAACTCTGTAAGAGCCTACGGAGAGTATTGATAAGAGGGCTACGGAGAATCCTGGCAAAAAAATTAACAGAATTTTCCGTACCTTTTTGCCACAGTGCCTGTACTCCACCGTGTGGTTCGAAAAGTAAAGTTTCCAGCATGAGGGGATTCCTTGGACCTCCAAGGACCTCTTCCACCCATTAGAACTTGTCTGCAATGCACGGCAGGCTCACAGAACACTTTGGAAAATAAAACGCAAAGTGGTCATGGCGCCCCACCTATGGGGTACCATGACCACCCCGTGGGGCACCATGACCATAGTAATTTTTTAGCCCAAAAAGTGTACTTTCTACCAGTATTTTCATTGAAATTGTCTATATCGCTGTCCTTACCATCAGGCCAGTCAACTTAACTAAAAAACACTCTAAAAACCTTCGAAGTTTCAAACGTTCTAAGATGCCTTAAAATGGACGGTTTGAAACAGTTAACGCTCTAAGGCTTTCAAATTTCACATCCAAAGCTATGACATGTGTTAACATTTTATGTTTGTCTTGCTAAGACGAATCCAAATTCGTATGCAGATTTCAATTTGGTAAATTTTAAGAAAATTATCGCGGTTACTACACTGCAAACAAGTGAATTAAATGCTGTTTTCATAATGCCAGAGCCATCTTGGTGCAAAGTAGCCACGGATCGCCTTCGCGGCCAACTTTTGCGGTTTGGAGCTCATAGAGAAACTATCATTTCAAGTCTCAGTTTCAGAACCATTCTAAATCATCCTGGTGATTCACGATTTGTGATAAAACTAGCAATGATTCAACCTTTATACATTTTCAGAAGCAAAAAGCAAATTTTCGACGAAGATAAATCATGATCAGGCCAAAATATGAGAAAAAACACTCAAATATGTATGGTCATGGTGCCCCACTAAAAAGTGGTCATGGCTCCCCACAATGCAGTTGACGACTCTAAGGCTCCCCGAGCATGTAAAAAGCTACTTAGAATTAAATGTGATAATGGATATTTTGCCGGAGAGCCGACATTTTGAGAAAAACCTAAGACATCGGACCCATCTCCTCAAATGTGAGAGTGAGGAAAAATATCTCAGATTTGAAAAACGCCCAATTTAGCCAAAACGCTGTAACAAAAATTTTGGCGAGGTGCTATGGTCGTACCCTTGAAGCTAGAAGGTAGGACTCTGGCTGAAAATAGTTAAAATCCTATTCTCCCGAAAGTCCGGTCGACCGGTTGCCGTCGGCAAAAAGTAGTTCCCGAGAGCGAGGGGGGTGGTCATGGTGCCCCAGTGGTCATGGTGCCCCACCCTACTAAGCGCTAGGAATCCACTGGCGGGGTCACACGTTTTATTCGAGTCCCGTTTCTCGACTCTAAGGCTCAAAACGCGTCCAGAATTTGGACACTTTAATTGGTCTTCAGGCCACTGAGGGCTGGCGGGTGCCAGCAGCCTTGCCGCTCGGGCCAAAAATCCACCGCTTTACTCCAGCGTGGGGCGTGCGCACTCACCGAGAGGGTCTCCAAAATCGCCATTCGGATAGCCAGTAGAGGCTCTCTAAGATCGCCACCGTTGCCGCCAATCACCACTTGGCACATT